TTTTTTTCCAGTTTGGTTTCTATTTTATTATTTTTTTCTTTTTCTTTCTTTTGCTATATACTTTTTAAAATTTGTGTCTAAACCTAATACTGCATATGTCCTTTCTCCTGCTCCATTCTGCTCTGTCCATGCCCTTTATTATTTATGATGCAAATTTTACTTTCTCTCATTGCTTTGCTGTGATTCCCTACTCTTACTATGACTCTTCCCTTTGCTCTCTCAAAATTGTTTCTCTTTCAGTTAGTCATCTCATATTCATTTTTTTCTTTCTTATAGTAGTCTTAATCTCTTCACACCTTTATTAAACTGGCGTATTTGCTGTTTATACTGTGATTGTCGATGGGGGTTATTTTCCTGAGTGTGGGTTTGTTTCCTGGGGTGTGGGGTTTTGTTCTGGCAGCACCTGCACGGCCGCACACAAGATGTGGTGGGCAGAGTAATTCTCAGTTGGCCAGCTGGAAGGAACGACCCACCAAAGAATCACCCAACAGTAATCAAAATACAGTTGTAATCAGAGAGCCAGTATAAATGGCATAAAGGTTATCCCAGAAGCATTAAGTTCAGGAGATCAAGGAGACTGTACTACTAAATGCCACAGGTCTCCTACCATAGAAGTTCACACCACAAAGACAGAGAATCAAAGCAGATCAGTCTAAAAAGCAGAAGCAAACAAGAAGAGTCACTTAAATGGGGAGACAAAGAACTCCCAATTGAAAGGAAAGGAGGAATCCCAGAAAGAGTGCTAAATGAAAGAGGCAAGTAAGCTATCAGACACTGAGTTCAAGTAATGGTTATAAGGAAGCTCAATGAGCTCAGTGAGAACTATATCACAAGGCCACTGTAATCACAACAGTCTGGTACTGACATAAGAAGAGATACATAGATTAATGTAACAGAATAGAGAGCCCAGAAATAAACTAGTGTCTCTGTGGTCAAGTAATATTTGACAAAGAGGGCACAAGCATAAAATAGGGTTAAAATAGGCTACATTTGTTGCCTATTTTACATTAAAATAGGGTACATTTGTTGAAGAGGCTATTTTAACCCTTTTCAACAAATGGTGCTGAGAGATCTGGAATGCTACATGCCAAAAAAAAAAAAAAAATGAAACTAGACCACCAATGCACACCATATATCAGGATAAACTCAAAATAGTTAAAAGACTTACACAAGCTATGATACCATGAAAGTCCTAGAGAAAAGCATAAGCAGTAAAATTTCAGATATCCCACAACAATATTTTCACCAATACATCCTCAAGGGCAAGAAAAAATTAAGGAAACAGTAAACAAATTAGGGAAACAATGGGACTACAGCAAGTTAAAAATCTTCAGCATAGCTAAAGAAAAATCATCAGACTTCCGGCCAAGATGGAGGCGTAGGTGGAAACATTGTGCCTCCTCGCACAACCAAGTTTAAAGACAACAAAGTTTTAGTAATAAAAACCCAATGAAAACACATAAAATTGAACTATACTGAAGTCCGATAACAACAAACCTTTCAGCCAGACCAGTAGGAGGGGTGGAGCCAGCAGCTGGCAGAGCGAGGTTTGTAGGAAAACTCAGCCAGACCTACCCAGGCATGCAGGCAGCGGTCGGTGGATCCCAGGCACGGGGTTGTGACGGGCAGCCCCAGTGGGGGTGCAAGGCAGCAGGCTGACTGCGGGCACACATTGGCATGCAGATAAACCCGGTGAAGGAGCGAGCAGCGACACAGACCGGAACGCGCAGGCCCCAGCAGCCGGAAGCAGCAGAGGGGACTGCTATTGCCCCTCTTTGACTCCGCCCCCACATCAGCGTCATAACCCAGGGACCTGGGTGGCCCGGCCACGGTGAACACCTAGGGCTCCGCCCCTCATATGTAACAGGGCAAACAGACCAAAACATTATGGTTCAAGAAGAACTCAAAGGGGGTCCTTAGTTCACTGTTGGTGGGATTGCAGACTGGTACAACCATTATGGAAAACAGTATGGAATTTTCTCAGAAAAATAAAATTCGACCTGCCTTTTGACCCAGCAATTCCACTGCTAGGATTATATCCCAAGAATCCTAAAACATCAATTTCAAAGAACCTATGCACCACAATGTTCATAGCAGCACAATTTACAATAGCCAAGAGCTGGAAGCAACCTAGGTGCCTGTCAGTAAATGAATGGATCAAAAAATTGTGTTACATATACACAATGGAATTCTATGCAGCAGGGAGAAAGAAGGAACTACTACCATTTGCAACAACATGGATGGAACTGGAAAGCATTATGCTGAGTGAAATAAGCCAGGGGTTGAAAGACAAATACGATATGATCTCACCTTTGACAGGAAGCTAAACAACAAAACAGTCAAGCAAGCAAAATAAAAACAAATACACTGAAATAGAGAACAGGGGGACAGCGACCAGAGGGGATAGGGGAGGGAATTTAAGGGAAAAAATGGGAGGAATTTAGAGGAACAAGTATAAAGGACACAGGGACAATAACTAAGGGGGTTACAAATGGAAGGGAGGTAGGGTGCATGGGGGAGGGGTGGGCTGGAATGGGAGAAATAAATAGAACAATTTTTTTTAAAAAACTACATAAAGGAAAACTCTCAACTAATTAAAAAAAAGTTCTATCTCCTTTGGTATTTGTCTACTTATCTGCTCTCTGCTATTAAAAGAAATAAAACTTTCAAAAAAAGTATTTCTTGCTAATCCATCCTAGCCTGCCTGGTTTCTTTTGAGAACCGTCTTATGGGAACTCCTCTGTAGGTATCTAACTGCTTTTGTCTTGCTGCTTTTTAGGTTCCCTGTATTTTTAGTCTTTGACATTTTAATTATGATGTGTCTTAGAGCGGGCATTTTGCAGCCATCTTGTTTTTGGCGCTCTGTGCTTACTGGACTTGCATGTCTATTTCCTTTACTATATTAGGGAAGTTTCTTTCATTATTTTTTCAAGTACATTTCCAATTTCTAGTTTTTTCTCTTCTCCTTCTACCACCCCTGTGAGGTGAATTTTATAGCACTTGATGTTGTTCTACAGCCTTCTTACACGGTCATTTTTTTAAATTCTTTTTTTCCTGTTCTGATTGGTTGTTTTTTGCTTCCTTATGTTCCAAATCATAGATTTAATTCTCAGCTTCGTCCACTTGACTATTGTTTCCTATGAATTGTTATTTATTTCAATTAGTGTATCCTTTGTTTCTGACTGGATCTTTTTTTTTTTGCTGTTGAGGTCCTCACTAAGTTCCTTGAGCATCCTTATGACTAGTGTTTTCACTTCTGCATATGACAGATTTCTTATCTCTATTTAGTTCTTTTTCTGGAGTTTTGATTTGGTCTTTCATTTGGACCACATTTCTTTGCTTCCTTGTTGTGACAGCCTCCCTCTGTTTATTTCTGTGTTAGGTAGAGCTGCTCTGACTCCCTGTCTTGGTGATATAGCCTAGTGTACTAGGTGTCCTGTAGGGTCCAAGGGCACAGCCTCCCTATAATGCAAGTTGGGTACTTGAGGTGCGTTATTTGTGTGGGCTGAGTACACCCTTTGTAGTTGAGCCTTGATTGCTGTTGGCATGGCAATGGGAGGGATTTAGCCAGGCCAGACATCTGCAAGAATTGTGTTTGACCACTTAACACCAATCTCTGCTCTTTGTGGAGCTACAACTGTGTGGGGCAGGGTGGTGGTGCTCTGTTATGGTCTGTAGCTATGCACTGGGTGTGCATGCTTTGAGGTTCCCCAGATAGTGCAGGCTTACATTGGCCCTCATTTGTGTTCTGCCCAGGGCCACCCTACATGAGCTATAAAGCAATCTTCAGATGGCTGCTACTTGTGCTGGGCTGGGAGGTTCCCAGGTGAAGCCAAACTGTGAAGCTATGCTAGCTACTGCTAGTACTCAGCCTGGGGGACTTAGCAAGAGGAGCAGGAGCTAGGGGATCACTGAGACTGCCAGTTGCTTTTTTGAGGGGATTTAGGATGTTGTGAAGTGTGAGCCAAGACCAGCCATTCTTATGAAAAAACCACAGTTAACAGCTTGTGTTGGCTAATAAATTGAGTGTGACAGAGCCTCAGAGGACCCCCAGGGCAGGGCAAACTGTGTTAGCCAGGTTGATTGAGTCTCAGATGTGACACTTGCCAGCAAGCTTTGTAGCTCTATGGGGGGAGGGTTCAGAAAAGGGACAATGGTCTCTGCTTACCTCTCCATGTGGGAGAAAGCTGTCCCCCAACTCTTCTTTGATGCCAGAAAATTCAGTTCTTCCCCTGTGCCACTGGTGCCTTTCAAGCTGTTACCAGTTGTTGGAGCTCAGAGGGAGTGGACCTGAGTAAGTCTTTCTGAGTGTTCTATAAAAGGAACAGCATAGGGCTTTAGCAGTTTCTTCCACCAACTCAATGCCAGCTGGTTTTTGCAACCAGAAGTTATGGGGACTTACCTTCCTGGCACTGGAACTCTGGGCTGGGGGCCTAGTGTTGGGCTGGTACTACTGGTTCCTGAGATATCCCTATTGAATCTTTATCTACCGTACGCATATGTGGACCCACCCATTCTGCATCTCCACCCCCCACCACCACCACTCTGAATGGGTGTGGTTTCTTTAATTCCATAGTCGTCAGACATCCATTCAACTTGATTTCTGACTGTTCTGAGTGATGGTGGTTCTGTATTTTAGTTGTAATTTTAATGTGGTTGTGCAAGGAGGTGAGTCATGTTTACCTGTGCCTCCATCTAGATTGGAAGTCTCATGAGTATGGAATTTAGAAAGAAGATTGGCCTAAGAATGTAAATTTGGTAATCTAAAGTCGTGAAACCAAATAATCATGTTTGGGCAAGTCTAGGTTCACTCGGGATTTAAAGACTCCAAGATAATGACATGCATCTAGTCTGGAACATCTGATTAGGAAAAAATCCTGATCATACAGAACATCATTTTATTTGCCCCAGATATTTGAAAGGTATCATATAGATATAAAATTCCTTAAAATGTTTATTTAGCCTTTTGCTCTATGTAGTCTGCTCCCGTTTTTCTTTAGGCGGTGCAGCTGCTGAAGCCGGGGGGCGTGCTGGTTTATAGCACGTGCACAGTCACACTGGCAGAGAACGAGGAACAAGTGGCCTGGGCCCTCGCAGCGTTTCCTTGTCTTCAGCTTCAGCCGCAGGTAGGATATATGGTGCATTTCCTTGGTGTGACGTGATGAACTGTGGAATCTTAAGAGCAGTTTTTCCCTGTATTCATTCCTTGCAATTGTGTTAAAATGCCACAGAGCTCAGGTGTATTTTTGTTAGATCTTTCTTTTTGTGGTTCTGTTCTTGTTGCTCAGAATTCTGTTTACAGAAGTATTTTTCCCCTTTTCAGTTATAGATTTTTCAAATAAGGAAAATTATGAGCATTTTTTTCTCATGCCACATCAAAGCCCAAGCAGGCTTCGAAATAACCAGGATATCAAAAGACTAACCAAGTTGGGGAGATGGCTCAGGATTGTCGCTTCTTTACAGTTTCTTATGTAAATTAGGTAACATTTTAAAAGCTGTCTTTTACTTTATTTTACCTAGCACTGTCTTTCTGTTATGATGTTTATTGAAAAGATACTTATAACTAGATTTTTAGCCCATGATTTTTGAGATTAAGCTTACATCTATATAATGCTCACATTCATTCAGATTACTTTGAACGCATAACTTTAATACCTTCCTGTGTAGAATTCTAGTAGGTAACTGGAATACATAAATTAAAACCAATCCGGATATGGATTCTCCATGCAGAAATTAATTTAGTTACGTTGTAGATGAAAGGAAGACTTCAGAATTCACTTGGCATTTTGTGTGTTTGTGTGTGTACATACATGTATACTCAATATATATCTAAGAGGTTCCTCTCGTGGAGTATTAATAATAGCTTTTAAGACATACACCTAAGAAAACATATCTTCAGTAACACACAGATGTTTGTCTGTGAAATGGGGACTTAGATTAGGATTATGGAACTTTTACACAGTTGTTTGCAAGTATGCCTGATAATTCTTTATTCCTCTAAACTGATTGATGGCTGCCTTAATTGATCTCCTTTTGATACTCCTAATGCACTTAAAGACAACAGAAACTTTATTCACTTGGCATGCACCAGACACAGGCATCTTTAGAGGCCCGAGGGACTCCTGTCAATTTGAGGGAGTCTCATAAATAAAGCTGAATTTTTCTCTATTGCTGTTACTAATAATGTCCCACTCATTGACGACCACATACCCTGAAATGTCATCCACTATATGATACCACCTTCTTTATTTCAGCCTCAGATCTGAGTATTTTATCTGCTTTCTCTATGAAGAAACAGGTAGGTAAAGTTACTTATTTAAGGTCACGTAGCTAAAACGTGGCAGGGCTGTGATTTGAATCCGTATATTTTTTACTGTGAAGCTCAGGTCCTTCCCACTCAGGTGGTGGGAAGGACCGTATATGCCGATAAGCATATGAGCTGTAATAGGTACTCCTTCTTCAGGTGACCATATATTAGTTTTCCACTTCATCACCTGGAAAAAGAGCACATTCTACAAAAATAAAAGTTATTTACTCATTTTTCTGTTTTTGGAACTTGTGGTAATTACAACTGAATTTGTCTTTTAACTTAAATTGTGCACAGGCACACACAGGAATTGTAGGATGTTTATGATATTTACTCATTTCCTCTAAACAGGAACCACAAATTGGAGGAGAAGGAATGATGGGGGCTGGCCTGTCATGTGAACAACTGAAACAGCTGCAGCGATTTGATCCATCTGTCGTCCCGCTACAGGACATGAACATTGATTCTCTCCGAGAGGCCAGAGTAGAAGACATAGTGTGGATGGCAAATAAGGATTGTATAGGCTTTTTTATTGCAAAATTTGTAAAGTGTGAAAGTATACAGGAGAATGATCCTTAGAAATGAAAATTCCAAACATTTGCCCTGTGTTTTTGTTTTTTTTTTTAATTTAAAAACCAATCTGTTCTCAGGCCAAGTGATTGTTGGCATCATTGCTAAGGTAACAGAAAAGGCTGCTAGCTGTTTCACCAAGGGTTAAAAGATACAGAGAAAGTAATCAGTGGTGTGGTATGAGGTTATATTTTGTAATTTAAAATAATTTTTCCTTTTGAATTTTGTAGAGTTCAGCAAAAAGGAGATGCCGATAGGTATCTGGAACATTTTTATTTGGGGTCTTGTGTTTTACTTTGTAAAAAATGCAAGTAATTTGTAATGGTAATCAGTGACTGTAACATGGAAAAAATCAGCAATATTTAATTTGCTTATACAAAATCACTAGTTGTCATTCCTGAGTTGCTAAGTGGGTCCTTAAGAATTCAGGGCCTGGGAAGGATGATGTTTACCATGTGCCAGTAACTGAGCTGAGTATTTTACCTCTTTTTTTTTGCTACTATTTGGTAAATAAACTCTCTTTCAAATGGAGTCTGGATCTCTTGATATTCTGCCTTTACTGTTTTCTTTCTTCCCCCACGCTTTCAAACTAAAAAGTAAAATAAATCTTTCTTCACTTTGTAGAATTAAAAAACGAGAACATTCTACAATGTCAGTACTTTTTATCATCTGTTGGAACGAGCTGTAACAGTTCATAGAGATGTGACTAGTGAGAAAGAGAACGCCAGTGTCCAACAGCTGGGAACCGGCCTGGCACCTGCAGACGGGCCGCGGCGTCCTCCCGTTGAACACCGTCTCACGGAGCACCCGCATCAGACACGGCTGTTGTGGCTGCGATAGAGCAGAACACAAAAGGACCGCTGTACAATCAAATCTGAACTCAGATAAAAACATGAATGAAATCCAAATCACAGAAGTGACCAAACATCTCCCTATAGTGACCAAAGTGACTGCTTTTTAAAAAAATCAGTTATAAGCTTCTTGCTCCATCCTACCTCTTTTAGATAAGGTATATTTAAACACCCAGGCCTAATTTAAAGGCTGTCTTGTGTAGAGTTATAGACATCTGTTTTTGTTAACTTTTACCAAATTATCCCAGAATCCCCTAGGCTTGGGCATATAAAGTGGGCATTTGGAAATAATTGCTTAATAGTTTTTCTCCCCCATAGGTTTCCATTAAGAACGTCTCATAACTATTATGTCCAACAAGACTGCAAGGCCTTCTGGATCAGGTAAAACCTTTTGGTGGCCTCATCTTTGAAGAAACCTTTTTTTGTTTGTTTGTTTTTTATCTTCACTGGAGGATATTATTCGTTGATTTTGGAGAGAGGGAGAGAGAAAACATTGATTGGCTATCTCCTGTACATGACCTGATTAGGGATCAAACCCGCATCCCAGGTATATGCCCTGACAGGGAATTGAACCTGCAACCTTTTGGTGTACAAGACAACACTCCAACCAAGCCACCCAGCTGGGGCTGAAGAAGCCTTTCCTGAATACCCTTCTCTGAGGTTGGGTTAGACAGTTGTCTCTCTATACCCGTAGGACCCGTAACCACTGGTACTGTGGCACTTCGTAAACACTCTAGTTTATTAGGCGTGCCTGTAACTTCTGCCCTAGGACTTGAGAAGATCCTGGAGGCAGGGACTCGGTGTTTTCTGTCATTGCTTCAGAGCATATCACCAATAGATGGTAATGAAGGGAAGAAGATATTTCAAGTTCCTTCAGGCTCAGATAAGTGACTGACTTCTTTACATCCCTCTTTCTGCATTACACTCATGAGGTGTCATTGACTAAGGAGAAATGGTGTTTTTCTGTGGCACTTCTGTTTCCAGGGCTCAGCTTCTTTCCCCAAATTGTAAATGTATTTTTAAAAATCCACTAAATCCACTTCTTCTCATGCTGTCTATAGAGCTTCATGTGGTAAGCTGGGATGAAAATAGTAGCAACTGTGTACGTTTCTGATTAATACTGATAAATGGCAAATCGTAAGTGTCACAGGCAAAATATAAGAGAATATTTGCATATTGAAAACAGTAAGGACAAATAATACTGTTAAAATTTTTTCCTTTAGCATACATTTCAGTGGGTTTCTTTCCTTCAAATGTTAAAGCAAATAGGAAAATGAAACACATGTAATTTTAAAGGACAAAGAAACATAAGGAAAAATGCAATAAAAAGGAAAAAGATCAGGAAAGTGTGGAAGAAAATTAATATATTATCTTTTAACATATTTAGTGTTGACATATATTTCTGTGAAACAGAAAAAAACATTTTAATTCAACAGTGAGTACATTTTACTTCAAAATCCTGTATCACATTTAGTTTAAATAGCAAAGTGAAATACAAATAGTTAAAAATATAATTTAGCCAAAATTAAACCACTGACCCCAAACCATTTAGTTACCTTTTTTCTCTAACAGTGTAACTCTTGAAAGTTTTAATAAGATCAGAGTCCCCAAGACTAGCAGCATTACATTGTTGAGCAAACAGACAAGGGTGAGGAGTTCAATCTGTCATGAAAATGGATCTCCATGATGAATTGCTGCAGATGTAGTGTTAAGGTGGAGGAAATCATTCGGCTGTGCTCATACTTAAAAGATCCTTTACCCACCTTAAGTTATGATTTTATCAGACCTAATGGGAAGATCACTAAAGTGACGTCGCTGATCGGCATCGCCCTAAGGGAAATGCTCCACAAATGGGAAGTGTTGAAGATTTAACATATTCTCACCTGTAAGAATCATTCCTAAAGTCACAATTGATACTACTAATAATAAACAGTGTAGAAACCAGCTCTTTATTTGTTTTATGTGAATGCCTTCAAATCTGGTTTGTCGAACAGCTCAGTGTAGCCAACAGCAAACGTTTAACAGGTATGTGTAGCAGACCATGTTAAAAATGTGGCATTGTCCCGAGTACTGTGACTAAGACACCCTACATTTAGCAGCACCTTTCTGTAACAGTAACTTAAGTGAACAGTAAAGAAAGAGCATAGGAAAAACTGAAATGGGTTTGACGAAAAAAAAAAAAAAAAAGCAGAGTAGAATTATTAACATTTCCAGCATTTTCTAGGTAGATGACAAAAATCATGATTCTACAACTGAGTAAGATGAAGCTTTTGCTGTTTGAAAAGAGTGTAATTTTACATTTCATGGGTCAGTAAAACATCCCAGTAAATGTCTCTGGCATTATTTCTTCTTTACAAATTTAGTACATGCTGTTTACAGGTGTGCTCACCATACAGTTTTCATGTAGAGATGCCAAATCCTGCAATACAGTTTTTTGAGGAATACTCAGATTTGGACTAATGTGTTTCACAGGAAAGTAAAAAACTAAGAATCCAAGTACGGAATTTAAAATTAGAGTCCATCAACACAACTCTTTGAAAGGGATTAATGGTAGCAGCAGCTTAGGTACATACCAGTTATACTTTAAGAATTTAAATATTCTGAAATCATTACTGGGATGAAATTATATGTAGCAAAGGATGAGGCTGGTGGTCAGCAACATCTCACCATGATGGAAAGACTATCCAAAATATTTTATGAAAGTAATCTTAATTGAAATGCGGTTTTCCAATGATGCAACTACTTTGCATAAGTATATATTATGACTACAGTTTTATATTCAGTAAATTAATTCATGTCACTGGTACAGAGCTAATTAACAAATATATTGAATCTGAGGGAAAGGTTTCATATTAACTGATAAAACAATGTCTGGGTAACCCATTTTAAAAAATGAGCTTTGTTGGGGGTAAAGGAAATAAGTAGTTAAATGTGAAGCAGTTTTACTTATAAAGGTCCAAGAATATTTGGCAAGAACCTGGAATAATTAGAAAAGCAACACAAAAATAGATTGACTTATTTAACAAAATAATAACTCTATAATGTACAAATCCGAAGTGAGGCAATTATAGATAGGCATTTTCCAAGGACAAACTTCAAGTGCTAGGTACTTGTACACCTAATACTGTCTTACCTGTCCAGTCCTAACTGGACAGAATGTACATGGAGGAGACATGGAGAGGTTTTAGCCTTAGCACGACAGTCACACTGTGAGCTGCTGACAGCAGTGTCATTGAGGCGTGGAGATGGTCTCTTCTGGCTTCCCCTTCCAAGCAGATGTCTGATGGAAGAAAATGCTCTCACCACTTGTTCACTTCAAGTCACCCCATTTGCCCTGATTACTTCTGAAGAGAAGAAAACTTTGGTTATAAGAAGCACTTTTAGGTTTTGACAGACAGTGAAACTCTTTTGAGTTCATGGTGGGGGGGTGAAATGATAGGTGAACTAGGAGATAATGGGAATAATAAGCAGGGTTAGAAAAGGAAGTGGGAGAAGTTAGAAAAATTTATTTTCCCACAACATAATTCTACAAGCTGTGTAAACTTTTCTTTCTATAACAAATACTCGAACACACAAAGATTGTACATTTCCAGTGAAACACTCACAGTTAAAAGTCACCTGTATTTTTTGCTCTCTAGGAGTGAAAACAAGGAGCCTACAGTTGAAGGCTCCCCAGTCACCTTTGGCAGCACGCGCCCTGACTGCTCCATGACCAGTAAAGCAGCACGCGGCACAGTGCAGGTCAAAGCCAGAGGGGTGGAACTGTAGGTATCAGTCTATAGTTTCTTTTCATCTTCAGCATACAGATTCATCTCAACCAATCACGCGCACGTACTCTTACACACGGACACACACATGTGTGCAGACAGAGTTCCGGCTTGTAGCCTCCAGTGCAGTGACATGAGACACTAGCTACTAAGAATGTGTTTGTCACAATCAGTGTGAGCTGCATGGATTAGAACAACCTCTGGAGTTTGGTTATATTTACCATAATTTATGGTCAAAACTATAAACTTAACAAGGATGGTAAAACATTCAGAAATTTAACCTTTTCAAGTCAAGCAATCACACATATTTACAGTATGTACATACAGACTTTCTACTAGAAGGGGGGTAGGTGCCTAGACGATGTTATTACAAATTTCCTGAAGGTGGGCATTTCTAGTCCCTGTAATTCATAAAGCAAATCTGCTGACTTGGCATTAAGACTCTAAAATAGTGTGATCAAACTGATATATATATATTTATATTTATATCATATATAATTATAAGAAGGTGTTTGCAGAAATAACATTTACAAACTGTCTATACAGTACACAGTACTAGTACATAGAAAATAGATTCTAACTTTATGATCCCCTTCATGTAAGGCAAGACTGAATCTGTCCCCAAATTTAGTCAGCCAGAGGTACAAGCAAGAAACAGTGGTCCATGGACGAATGAATATGCAAATCAGGTGCCTACATATTAAAAATATGGAGAATCAAGAAATTCCACTTTTTATCTGGGCCGATTCTGGGTTGCTAGATATAGCAACTACATGTTTTGAAAACATCAACTACCTTTCTTAAAATATTAACGTCACTTGGATGGCAACAGATTTTGTTTAAATGACAGCTACCCCAAGCAGTTTTTGAAAAGTCCAGGAAACGACCAGAGGACTGCAGCTGTACCAGGCAAATGTAACACCTTCAAAAGAAAAAAAAGTATATTAATACTCTGTCATGCTATTGCTACTTAAGCAACAGCAATACAAAATATACAAGACAGATCACGTATGATTGCAATGCCAACCCCAAAGATTTAGATTGAGGGTGATGTTATACAAGACTTAAAAAAAAAAAACCAGAAACAAACAAAAGGGCCAAAGTCACTGGCGGATGTAAACATCCCTGTTCCACTCCCCAGCCTCATTCCTTTTTTTGGATATTCCTTCTCCATCCTTGTCATAGTAGCGATCCTTGGATTTATGACGGCTTCGTTGTTTGTTGCATTCGTTGTGGTCCTGCTCTCGGTCCAGGTCCCTGGCACGGTGCCGAGACTCCCTGTGTCTGTGCTCACCACTCCCGTGGGGCTCATCCCTGTGGTTATGGTCACGATGCGGGACATAGTGGTCCCCATGTTCGTGGGTGTAATCCTCCTTCGGCTCCACATAGGCGGAGTCTCGGCTCTCTTGGGTTTCTGAGTCAAACGTCTCTTGCCTGGAGAGGCCTCGATTTGTACCACTGCGATGGTTGTGGTGCTGGGCCGAGGAGGAAAACCGGTGCTGGGATTTCTTCACTGGTTCTGGGCAGGGTTCTTGTTCAGCTTGGGAAGCAGAACGGGCAGGAGCAGAGCGATCAGTCCTCTGGCCACCTTGAGAGCCCTGCTGTCGAAGGCAGAAAACACAAACATCAACCAGGCTCAGAGTGGGAGGCACTGATGTATCATCACACAGCAACTCCAACATCCAGACTGGTGAAATGAAATCTCACTGGCCGAGTCACTACATTTTTTTGATGGTGTCCACTGGCACTTACAAGGTTTATACTGTATTACATTGGACTTTGTTAATTTGTACATACCTAGAACAGTGCACAGAGTAACCTTTTTATTTAAATAATTAAATGAAGGAAGGAGGGCATTGTTTTATATGTTCTTTTGTGGTTTAAATACTGATACTTATGGGTATATACTTAACTACCTCTGTTTGAATACACGTGGGAAGATGAAAGGCCTTAGGATGTTGGCTTTGGCTTAAGGTAAGGATTAAGGAGAAAAAATGATGAGGTATGATTCAGGGGCACTATGAGGCAAGCACTGTCCTAGCAGTCACATTACTTATTAATTCATTACTAAAACAACCCTGAGATAGGTTGCCAGTATTATTCCTGAGGCATCGAAGGTAAAGAGCAGGTGAGAAGCGTATTCAAGGTTATACACTTGGTGAAAGGCAGAGCCCAGATCTGCGGCCAGCCGGCCAGAGTCCACTGTCTGTGCTGCTGTGTAGAAAGTTCTTCTACCCTGTCTTAAAGAACATGTAGTTAGTGATTCTAAAGTCTGTATATGCATGGTACATTGTGTTGACACTGCCTCTCTCACAGGCACACCACTCACACGGAAGGAGTTTAAGTCACTCAACATCTGTCCCTGAGTGGATAGAGCACTCTACGGGCCCAAGCACTGGGCCGGTATCTGGGCTCGGATCCCAGTGGTGTGACCTTAGGCAGCCTGGTTTCTCCACACAGATGAGAACGCCCCTCACCTGTGAATTAGAGGCAGGAGTGGGGCTAACAGGCAGAGCTGAAGAAGCGAGAGTACGGCTGAGGAGAGGGTTGGGGACACTGCTGCTGGGAGGATGGGTGGCCTTCCAGTAGGCCTCCAGGTAGTCGGCAAGGTGCTCACAAGCATCCTCGAGCTGGTTCTCATCCAGGATCACGTCAAACAGCTCCTGCAGAGGCAACATTTCAGAAAGCGCACTTACACCAGCCCAGGACTGACTCCAGTTGCGCACCCCTTCCCCAGCCTCACGAGAGGAGGGAGGTTTCATGAGCTGCACCGCTTTGTATTTGCGAGGGCTTCTGTGCTTCTCTTCCCTCTGCTGACTGTCCTGTGTAGTCTGATTATATCGCTGTTTAGAACCCTGGATGCTTAACCAACAGCAATGGCTAGAGAGTGAGAAGGTGTAATAACAGTTGGTAAAGGGCACGGTAAAGGTTGTCTGTCGATAGTGAAAGGAATTGGTACCATGATAGGACGAGGTGTAAAAGGAAAATAATACAATCTGAATAGTACAGGAAGAAGCCTATTCTGACACAGAATGAACAGTTTAACCCTGGAAATGAATGAGGGAAGACTGGCATATGAAATCTGGCAGGTGAAGCCATTGATCATTTGACATGGTCCAAACTTCAAAGCACTTCAAAGTGTTTATTCTAAGTGTTAACATATTCCAAGCAATCACAATGATGTATAGTCATAATTCTTGGAGCTTTTGAAATACTTGCATTTAAAAAAAAAAAGCAGAAGCCACCTGTTGTCTCAAGGAAGGGTATGTAAGGCATGAATTTAGAAGTAGGAATGTATTCAGATGCCAGAATCTGGTTAGCTGATTGATCAGACCTGTTTTCACATGGTCTCAAATTAATTTCTCAGACAACTATTAAGAGGCAGTCAAGCTCTCTGTATGATTAATAGGGTTAACCCCAAATAGATCTATCTTATAAACCAAGTTTTTGAAGCCACAGTCTTGTTCATTTAAGATACGAATGAGGTGTTAGGTTCAAGGTGAGAGCACAGGACTTGCCGTAGATCTGGACCAGTCACTTCTTTGGAGTGAAGCTCACTGCTTAGTGGTGAGGATTCTTCCCCCAACAAGCCTTTCACCGTCTTTTTGTTTGCTTGTTTTTGTTTTGTTTTGTTTTTGGGTAATGCCAGGCCTGATCTCTCCATCTGGATTATACTGTGTACACAAAGAGAACTTACTGGCGGGCACTGAGACAGCTTATCAGCGGCTACCATCTGGACATTGAGGTGTTTAGCTTGAGATTTCCCTCGAGATTTTATTAACCTTTGTAAAACCTGTAAAAGATAAGATTTTTTTAACAGCTGCACTCAGATAAATTACAAGATTCAGTCCTTCCTCTGGTGACCTTTTATATACATATACCACAAATGCTAAAGGTCGAGCTACAAAATATGATGTAAATAACATTACCTGCAAAATTGATATTAACATAAATCTCAGTTTCCAGCTCTAAAAATAACTAGCCATGGAGCCTATTCTGAATCTTCTTACAAGGCTACCAGTTACCAAACTTTGTATTCTGCCCATTTGTTTTAAACAAGTCTTGAGAAATCCAAAAAGTGTTTATTTATGTGAACTATATCTAATATTTACTGTGGTAGAAATTAAATATTCATTTAAAATTAACAATAAGCCCACTACATGTTAACATAAATTACTTTATAGAAATTCCTGTACTTTTTGCAGGTATCCCTAGTGCCCTAGTGCCTGACTTCAAAGAAGACAGCCGAAGTCTCCTGTCTGCTTTACATGTGATCTGCTGCAATGGAGTTTGGGTTGAAATATGTGATGAAATCCAGCCTCCCAAAAATATGTAGTTGAGAAGAGGAACATTTAGTAGCCTTTTTGGATGAGAGTATTACTGTCAATACTCTTTGCAGTGTAGAAACTACACTAGTTTCTTAAAGAACAGTTACTATGTGAAATAGGAAATGGTGTGGATGAACTTTTCTTACTCTACTGCATTACATTCCATTGGCCTGTCTTGAAATTTGAATGGATTTTTTTACCATGCATGATTTATAACATCACTTGGAAATATGGAAATAATGGTTTGCTGACTTCTGCAGATCTTCCAAATGTTTCATACACGTCATTATATAATATGAATACATATTTGTTCATGTTATCATTGATCTCATTAGAAAAGTCTTTGTTAGTATAAGCTTCCAAGCTCTCAAAGGCGGATGCGAGTTTTCCAAAACTCTAATTTTTCTTTGAAAGCTTCAGTTTCCATCATTGGTAACAAAGGCTGTTCCTTGTTTTCCTTGATGTGATACCCAAGTCTGAAAAAGCATCACCTGTCCGTTCTTTCCATATAATGGTATTCCGTGAGGAAAGTGGCTAGTTAGTTCCCAGCTCCAATAATCATACCGATGCTTGTCCCAAGATAACTAACGTCCTTGGGTATGTGCAGCTTATATGTACTTCTTATTTTATTCCTCAATATTTAAAAGTCTTGTATAAGAGTCAGACTTAATAAAATTAAGTGAAACTGGTTATTTATTTTTAACAGGTAGTTAAAACCTGGTGGGAAAAGTACAGTAATTGCCAGTACTGTCTGGTACCAGTCTTGATTCATGCTGAGACACACTCAGTTTCACCCACCATCACTTTTGCCCCATCAGTACAAATGTCAAAGCGGTGTAAAAGATGAATGGTGTTTGGGTTCATTATGGAAATAGTTTTGACCTTGTGAACCTTCTGAAAGTGTCTTAGAACCCACCCCACAGGGGGACCACCACACTTTGAGACTCAGCTGTTCTAAGCCATGAAACTAATAATCATGCTTTGCTTATGCCAGTCTTAAAAGCTGACTAACATCTCTTCAAACTCTCTAGGATGGATAAAGACGGAGCCTTTTGGTAACTACAATGTAAACATTTTGGCAAACTTTGACTGCAGAGCAAACAACAAGCCTACTTACCTTAGGAGAAGAAATCTTTACATATACTATAATAGGGGCCAAAGAGGTTTTACTGAGTTGAGCTGGATGATTAATAGTGTCTGCATCAAGGACTACCAGTTGCAGTGTTCTTGCAAGTTCAAAAATCCTTTCTATTTCACTCTGAACTTCCGCTGTAAAAGGTTAAGCAGAGTTCCATTACTTAAAGTACAGTATTTTTAGAGTAAATTGAAATCAAGTAAAATGGTACACTACTTCATCAACAGGAAGGTACATAGGTCAGCCATTGGGTTCATGTTTATAGGCAACAGAGCTGATAAAAGCATTTTTTCCATAACACCTTGAAAATTTAGGGAGTTCCTCTCTCAACCAGCTATAAAATTTACTTACAGTATAACACTATTTCTGAGAGTAAAAATTTTTGGCTCCCTCTGCTGACTTATTTTTTTGTGCTATAAAAATGATTTTTTCATAAAAAATGTTATAAAATAGAAACTTAAGAGAACTTTCATGTGTTTGGTTCTGACCACTGTACTCTAGCAACCATCGCCAGCTTTCCTCTCAGTGTGTGGGCTTATCTGTGTTTATCACCTATTGGTATGCTAATGGGCACCTGTACTAGCCACCTGGAAAACACCGTAGGCTAGGAGAGACACTGAGAGGGCCCATAACACATTTGTCCAGAAACACACTAATCCTGCCTTCCACCAACAAAAGAGTGGCCCTGCAACATTCACGTTTTAAAGGCAGGTATCCGTCAGAGGCAGCACTGCACAAATCTGAGCTGTACCCCTCACAGAATACTTATTAGCAAACACCTAAAAATCTACTTGAACACCAAGAAGATTTCATTCAGTTCATCTACTTCTGCGTGATCTCTCAAGAGTCTAAAACAGGACCGTCCAATAGAATTTTCTGTGATGATGGAAATATGCTGGCCGGCACGGTAGCCGCTAACCACATGTGGCCGTTGAGCACCTGAAATGTAGCAACTACATTTTTAAAATGAAAGTTAAGTAGTTTAAAATTAGATAGCTGAAGAAGCTTCTGTACTAGGCAGTGAAGGTCTGTAAAGCATAATGTGTGACCCGTAGTGCCCACTGCGATCATGAAGGCCAGTCCCGCGAGACTCTGGACCTACAGAAGACCTTCAGTTCCCCTTGTGCATCTGGATCCATGCAGAAGATTCCTGGAGATAGTTTTAAGTAGTATTCAAGGAAAGGCAAGTCACTAATCATCTGCGTCACAGCACGTTACGACTGGAGTACTTTCATTTACCTGGATGTCTGTAAAGTTAGGGCCCACACCACTTGAGATACCAACTTTATAATATTTGGTCACATACTATGGATAATACAGTCTTCTAAAAGAAAAAAGTAAAATTAAGCTCTTGGATTTACCAGTTTATAAGAAATGCAGAAAATGGGCAATCATATAAATGATACCAGTGTAGTGCAGTTGGCAAATTTCAGATTGGACCTCAATGGAATAAGTTACCCAGTTTCTTCAAGTAAAAAATTACAGGGAATCAATCACAAGGTATAGACTTTATTTGGGTCCTGAGTTAAGAATAGTAATTTATATATTTATAATATGAAAATGAATAAAATATTGATATATATAAAGACTATATAAAATATGACAATTGGGAAAAATATGTGGTTAAGTGAAAATCTGATGATACTAGGGATGCATTAAGGTACGATAGTGGCATTATGGTTTAAAGAAAGAGTCCCTAATATTAGAAATACATAATGAAATATTTACGGGTAAAATTATATGATGTTTGTGATTTGCTTCAAACTAATCCACAAACAGTTGGAAAGGAAGGGGAAGACTGGAAACAAAACAACATGTTGGCCATGAACACATGAGACTTGAAACTGGGTAACGGGCATTTGAGGTCCTTTATACTCTTTATATTCATATATATTTAAAATAAACAGCAGTTTAAAAATGTAAATGGTATTCTGATACTTTGTTTCATAATGTCCTAAAATGATGCAATTATTTTCTGTTCTTTAATTTTCATTTCAAAAATAAGTTTCATTTGTTGTGCCCTATAAATGTTTTCATGGCCACTGATCCTCAACAATCAGGTTATAATCTAAATTAATATTTATTGTAAGCATTAAGAAATTTGATCACCCTAAGTTAGCATCATACTCAAAGGCAAAAAGTTGAAAATGTTTTCTGTCAGATTGGAAATGAGAGAAAGATGCCCACCCTTGCCACCTTTGTTCAACACAGTGCTAACAGTCTTAGCCAGAGTTCTTCAGCCCATGATTGGGAGGGAAGAAGTAAAACTGTCACTCTTTGCAGATGATATGATACCACATATAGAAAACCCTAAAAACTTCACCAAAAACTGTTAGAACTGATAAGCAAATTCAGTGAACTTGAAGGACATAAAGTTAATGAGGAATTGGTTGCATTTTTATACACTAATACTGAAATTCCAGAAAAAATTAAGCAAACAGTCCCATTTACAATTGCATCAGAAAGCATGAAATACTTAGGAATGAATGTAACCAAGGAGACAGAAGAGCTTAGATTGAAAACAATGACAATGATAAAAGAAACCGAAACACAAATAAATGGAAAGATAGACTGTGCTTATGGATAGGAAGACTTAGTATTTTTAAAATGTGCGCACTAACCAAACCAATCTATAGATTCAATGCAATCCTTCTGAAAATACCAATGGCATTTTTCAAAGAAATAGAACAAACAATTCTAAAATTTGTATAGAACCACAAAAGACCCTGAATAGCTAAAGCAATCTTAAGGAAGAACATAGTTAGAGTCATTATGATTCCTGATTTCAAACTACATTATACAGCTATTACAATCAAAACAGTATGATACTAGCATAAAAAGACAGATCGATGGAGTAGAACAGCACAGAAATAAAGCCACATATATACGGTCAACTAATTCATGACTAAGGAGACAAGACTATACAATGGGGAAAGGACCATCTTCAATAAATGGTTCTGGGAACATTGGAAAGCCAAATGCATAAGAATGAACCTGGACCACACTTCACACCATGCATAAAAGTCAACTCGAAATGGACTGAAGACTTGAACGTAAGACCAGAAGGCACGAAACTTCTAGAAGAAAACAGGGGGTAAGTTCCTTGACAGTTGGTCTTGGCAGAGGGTTTTTTGGACACCAAAAGCAAAAGAAACTAAAAAATTTTTAAAGTGCAGCAAAATCTGAAAGGGAAAAAATATTTGCAAGTCATATATCTGATAAGGGGTTAATATCCAAAATTTTAAAACTCATACTACTTAATAGCAAAAAACAACCCAATTAAAAAAATGGGTAGGGGGTACATATAGATATTTTTTCAGAGAATACATGCAGATGAGCAACAGGTACAATGAAAGATGTTCTACATCACTAATCAGGGAAATGCAAATCAAAAACCATAATGAATTATATCACCTAACACCTGTCAGAATGACTAATATCAAAAAGTTTAATGTTGGCAAGAATGTGGAGAAAAGGGAACCCTTTTGCAAAATAGGTGGACAAAATATTGTGTTGACCAAAATGACCATATGATTTTTTCCGTAAAATAAGACATTTTTCATTTACCAATAACTTTATTGATTTGGATATTTTGAATATGTCAGCTATCTCCCAAATGGTATAAAGTTGATTGTTCTCAATGTCTCAGTTTGATCACTCTCAACACACCATATGACATTTTAGGTGAAATGTTCACATTGCTGTCCATCTTATGCAAGACTTTCACATACCCTACCAACCAGACTCAAGCAAGCCTTATTTCTGCTGGATCCTGTATATATTTGAATTACCTATCCTTCAGTGCTACCATAAGGAAAACTAAATCCTCATACATACATGTAATTAGTTTACATATAACACATACGTTCTCCTTCTCTACAAACAAAAAGTGTACGCTGAGTTTCCTAGGAGTCCAGATGACCCGTGTGATCTGCGTGGATCACCGATCCATTCCCTGGGCTCTGCCCCATGGCCACCTTCCACGGGTCTAGGGACTCTTCCTCTGGCTCTCCCTGCATCATCTGAGCACAAAGTCAAGGACAGATGTGCCCTGTCAGGAAAGTCAATGGATTTTGCCAAACTTTATCTTTGACTGCTCTGTAGCAGGTGGACACTAAGATGCCCTTCTCTCTCCTCAGTGTAACTGTCTTCTGAACTCTCCCTGGCACTGCCCGGGTAGCCACTGCTGCTTCTTTCCCTACCAACCCCAAGAATGCTGTTTCTGTTTGGGGATCTGAGCTTGTCTTACTTTTTTTTCATTCCCCTTTCTGGCTACATGTGTCAACTAGTGGCTTCCAAAAGTACAGTCCATTTTTGCTGTTTGCGGATTCAGTACTTGCACATTCTTCTACTTGCTAAAATTGATTTGTAAAGCCCCAAATCAATACTCCTGGCATTTTTGCAGTCAGTCATTCAGGGACATGTGTGCAGTGGCAAAAAATTGGAGTTCCCCAAGGTGCATGTTGTCAGCTGAGATCAAACAAGTTGACACTCTGTGCCTTCTGGTTCCAGCTCTCAAACTGTAAACAAGTGTCCTTTTTGTGGTCTGTTTAGTACTTTTTCTCATTTTTTGTATTTATGTGTGATTTCACTGTTTAACCCCCTCCCATTCCACGCCACTCCAAGCCCAGTGCTGAAGTGCTGGCCTGCTGGCCAGTGCTCCTAAGTGTAGGAAGGTGGTGGTGATGTGCCTTATGGAGAAAGCTGCATGTTAGCTAAGCTTTGTTCAGACATGAATTTACAGTTCAATGTTAATGAGTCAATAGTAAGTATCAAATAAGGTATTTTTGAAGCAGAAAACATTAGAAAATAGACTATATTGATCAGTTAATGAGAATGTTGTGACCGGAGGCTTACAGGAACCTACTGCTACATTTTTCATAGAAGTGATGGCTCAGTATTCAATAATTCGGTGTCTGGGGGACTGCATGGAACATAACGATTGTGCATATTGAGAATTGACTGCATCTTAAGCTTGTCCTCTCTGTTGAGTTCCAGATCTGTACACACAGTTGCCTGCTGGCTATCTGGATGCCCCATAACACTGCAAGTTCAAGATGTTTACAAAGGTGGCCATCACCTTCCTTATCCCCCTCCTCAGTCACTCCCTCAAACAGGCTCCTCATCCCAAACTCCTCATCCTCAGAATAACACCATCAGCCAGGTTCTCAAGGCAAAAAGTTGGAAATCTTCCTGGAGTTTGCTCCTTCATGTTCCACATTCAACATAACACCGAATCCTGACCCTACTGTCCCGCAGCATTTGCCGTCTTGGCCACCAGTTCAATGCAAGAGCATGCATCACCCTCTATTTCAGTGGGCTGTTAACTGACTTGTCTTACTGCTACACCAAGACTCCTGAGGGAAGGGGCTTCATCAATTCGTGTTTCTATTCCCAGCCTTGGATGACTTTCAGTGTCTAATGTACACTCAGTAAAGTATGTAGAGGTCATGAGTCATTTAAAAATATATACAGTTAGTAGTTACAAAGAGCCTCGAAAGCTAAATGAATCTGTTACATCGTTTATTCAACTGATAAGTAGTTTAGTCAGTGAGGGGGGGTTAGGTGAAGAACGAAATTGAATTATAAAGTTATTATATTCAGATAAAGTTTATTTTTAAACAGTTTCTCCATTGTTTAAATAATATTATTCAAAGTAATCTAAAAGCTTCTGTGTTAAAAGGCAGTCTCTCAGGGGAGTTATATATGTAACATACAAATAGAAAAAATTAAAAGCGAAGATCTCACACAAGCCTGAGAAACTGTACTTGATAAAAACAGAAAGCCAACAACACAGTGAGTTCCATGGCTAACAGGGATTAACCTCAAACTCCACGCACAGCCAGAGAGATGGAATAGCTGCCCGAGGGTCTCATTAGGTCACATTAGTATGTTAATAAGCAGTACGCAAACATAGCCCTAAGCACAATAACTAAAATTTGTACATGGTTTTTGTGAACAAAATGAAACTATTGATAATGCCAATCAATGGGAAACCACCAGGGACTGAATGCATCCTTTATCAAGCTCAAGACCATACCACACAGGACACTATGGTGAGTGACAGAGCCATTGCTATTATTCAGCTATTAAGGGGTCTGAGGTAACAGCTATCACGTACAGAGGACACACTATGTTTAATCCTCATAGTACTTCTTCAAGGAGGTTAATGTTATTTCTTTTGTTTAGATGAGGAAACTAGGCCTTAAACAGGTAATGAACTGGCTCATGGTAGCAATAATGCAAAGCCAAGGGTTTTTTGAGTCTGTTGACACTGAAGTTCACTTTAGTGACAAACCACAACCAAAACTGCTGACAGCCTGCGGAATTTTTAACTCCACACTATCGTAACAAATTCTGGCATGCCACGAAATCACCAAGATTGTGGCACTAGCTACTGGTAACACGTGTCTGTTCCTTCTCTGCTCTGTGACACAAGGAATTACCATCTAGTTAGTTCTTCTCATTGGCAGCCTCAGGGAGAAGTGTTTGAATCGTTTAAGTTCCTCAGGAGTTGCACACACTCACCTAAGCTTGACCTCGTGTTGGATCGTTCTATTATTGCGTGCTTACTGGGGTTATTTAACACTGAGCGCTTGGCCAGCGAGATGTCTGCAGTGACCCTCGTGATGGATATCCTGTTGGGAAAAAGTAACAGAAGACCCTGAGGTTATTAACTGAAGAAAAAGGGACAGGAATATATGCCTCAGACTCATCTGTGTCTGAAACATATACAATGACCATATTTTCAAACAAAAAACAAAAAATGTTAAGGCACTTGACTGTTCTATTTATTTTTAATCCTGCACTACCTTAGCTTTTATTGGTTAATTTACCAAGGGCCAGGCATATACTAAACATTACCCCATCACCTGGATTATATCCTTTAGTCATCCCAGAACTCTGACAGGGAGGTTTATTATCATACCACTTTTGCTGATGAAGAAAATGAGCCATCAGTAGATTCTTTATTCAAGTCTACATATTAACTAAAAATGACGAAGCTGGGATTTGAACCCAGGCCCTTGAGCACATATTCTTACCCTGTGTTGCAGACCCTGCCATAAGTATAGTGCTGTGAAAGGCATGACCACAGAACAAGGGAAACATGGTCTTTCCTCAGCTGAGAATCCAGTGGCAGAGACGGGTAATAAAATAAATGAAGGAATTACAGAATAAGATGACTGTTGTGAAGAGGACACAGAGGGTGTTGTGACAGACGATCATTAGTTAGGAGGTCATTTTAGATAGGGTAGAAATGAGAACATTTGGAAGCTAGAAAGTGCAAATGACCTAGCCTAGGGAGAGCAGAATATAGCAGGCCGTAGTCGGAAAAGGCAGGGAACAAACTGGAAGGGCCACAGCGCCTGCGCAGAAGGTGAAGGAAATGTTGGAAACGGGAGGTTTGCTTCGAGGTGTCTGAGGGTCAGGGCCCTCCATCTCCCTCCCGCTACACCGAGCCCCCAGGTGACCCTCTTCCTACCTGCCCCGAGACCGTTGGTTTGGTCTCTACAGGGGACAAAACAGTGTCTGGGACCAGGTGACCCTAGCCAGAGCAGAGATTACATGTTGTTTGGAAAAGAAAGGATTTTAAATGGAATATTTTTCCCTGGGGAATCTGACCTCCAAAGAGAAAAGAGCCCAAGATAATGACCTTGACAGTTTCTAGTGAGGCTAACAAAGAGATGGAAAATAGGAGAAGAAAGGTATGAAATTTAGAGAATTATCTAGAAGGTTCAACTTCCAAATTAAAAGAGATTAAAAAAAAAAAGAATAAGAGGACAGAAAACTAAAAAATAATTCTAGAATTAAGAGCCTGACTTTTCCCAGTGGAAAGGATCCAGCAGAAAGTGTGACAGGAACATTCACAAAAATGTGACTCCGGGGATGAAGCAGGACCACAAAGCTTCCACCAGAAAAGGCAGGTCCCCTGGAACAAAAACCTTAAAAATTCTGAGGGGGAACCATTCCAATTGGAATTCCATTACCATTTTAACTATCAGTTAAATGGGAGGGTTGATTGAACACATTTTTAAAGATTTTATTTATCATTTTTTAGAGAGCGGGAAGGGAAGGAGAAAGACAGGGAGAGACAGTCAGTCAGTTGCCTCTCACACACCCCCTGCCTGGTCCCGCGACCCAGGCAAGTGCCCTGACTGGGAAACAAACGACTGGGAAACTCTCATTCACAGGCTGGTGCTCAATCCACTGAGCCACACCAGCCAGGTTAAAGACATTTTTAGACATTCAGGTCTCAAAGAAAAACTTTATGTACTCTTTCCAGAGAAACTATTAGAGGATGTTGTCATAAAGCCTGGAAGAGATCAAGAGATCTGGAAAAAGGGGGCTCCAGCCCCAAAGGGAAGGTGACAGCAATACCAAGGACAATGACAAGGGATGTCCCAGAATAGAAACTACACCCAACACAGAAATCGTCTAGACAGGAGCAGGCCAGGATGCACCCAGAGATTCAAAAGTACAAAGTTGAGAGACTACCTGGTGTATTGAATCCACTGTGAAGAGATTTAGACAACTGGGGAAGAATTTGGGGCCAAGATGGCGCCAAATATACAGAAAATTAAGCAAGTATAAAAGTAACATTATTTAATTTATAGTAACCACAAAGAAAATGCACATGAAAAAGCAATTATAATGTATTTGACATGGCCTATTTACTTATTTACATGGCTTTATAATACATACTAAAAATGGAGCCGGCCCAAAGTTATGACTTAACTGTTGGGACAGCAGAAGATGAGATGTGTATGCAGGGCTGTGACAGAACTGGGTATGAGAGAGCCACACATTCTTCATGGTGGAAGTCAGTGGATAACGTCCAACACCGTAACCTCAACTAGCAAATTAAGTACATTATTTAGAGGTAAAGAGTAAATACCAAAAGATACAGCCAATAGAGTTAAAATTGGGTTGCCTTTTGGATAGCAGTACATTCAGTACAGTGTGGAAAGGGATTACTGGATTTTGCAAATTAATTTATCTCTATACTATAAAAAGTGATCCTTTATGAACTGGGACTAACTCACGGAGTTCGATATTCACCACCATGTTCATGATGCAGAATAATTTTATTACCCCCAATTTCACCTAAGCTACCTCTCTGTGGTCAGTCCTCCCTATACTGCAGCCCTGGCAACCACCGAGCCACATGGATACATGGGCAGTGTGTTCCAGGCAGAGGGCAGAGTGAGTACCTGAAGTGCCGGGAATTATTCTAGCACAGCTGAGTGAGGCCCATGCACTGCTGATGACCAGAATCTGTGTCCTGTGCCTCTAAAAGAGGCCTGAACACCCAATGGGAGACAGGCTGCCCTGTAATGGGCGCCATCCTGAGATCACAGGGGTGACAAGACAGGACAAAAGCCACTCAGGAGCATCTGGAGTCTGAGCCCATTCAGCAGGAGGACAGGGTTTTCTGTAACAATACATCTTCCTCTTTTTTCCACATGCTTTTTCCTTTTCACACATGGTGTTGTCCAGCTGGGCTTCCACTGACCTGCTTACGTGATGAGCTTTGTACGCTGTGTGAAGACTGGCCACTATCCTATTTCAACTCCTTAAGTGTGCTTTGGGAATTGTCATTACTTGAGTTTCCGCCAAGAAAAAAGACCTTGAAAATCCTAAGGGCAAAATTGTGGGGACAATTCAGTTTAGAGGCGTGGTTCTCAACACTCCTGGTACATCAAAATTGCCGAGTAAGCTTTTAAAGTTATATTAGGTCCCACCCTAGAGATTTGGCTCCAACTTGTCACCAGTGGAATAAAAGCCCTTGGTTTTTATTTTGTTTTTAAAATGCTATAGGTGATTCTAATATGCAGCCAAGGCAGAAAACCACCAGTTTAGAAGTTGTCTCACACCTAAGTAAATTTTCCATAAAATGATGAAATGTTTCCTAGGATTACTGACTTTTTCTCAATACAATCCCTTTGCCCAAGATCCAACATACACATATTCCTATGCCAATCCAGCATGAATTTAGACACTTCAGGCTCAGAGCTGACATTTTAAAAATACTGGAGGACAGTTGAATTCATCACTTTCCTTCTTGTCTCTGATTTCCTTGCTAATTTACCTGCATTGTCCTGCCAGGTGAATTGGAAAACTGCTTTGTTTACATGACATGGGTGGTTAGGGTCGATCCTATTTGAATGGGCTACTCTATTGCACACAACAAAAGGATAATGATTGATTGTCTCTTCTTTGACGGGACAACTGAAACGCTATTTAAATGAGTATCTGACAACTCTGCAGGGCTTCGGCAAATCAACTTAACTAGGTTTAAGAGCAGAAAAGAATTCCTATCTGAATCTTCATCACCAATACTTCCTTTTCTATTTTCCCCTCTTGGACTTTAATTAAAAAAATAAGTGTAGTCTATTTAATAGATAATTAAGGAGTAATTTATCCTTTTAGAATTATATGTCTGTTTAGAGTTAGACATACCCACTACTTTCAGTGACTTTCCACCCTCCATTGCTGTCTTGGCTGGCCAAAACAAAGGCATTTAATGATACAGTTACTCTGAATGTCTTGCCATGGAGTTTTAAAACAAATGTTAAGTTTTTGCATGGCTTTTTGAAATTCTGCCTTATGAACACTATTACTTCCTCTGAGGATCTTTGGTGATCACAGGCCTAGGAAGTTGAACCCCAGCTCTATGAGTTAGGAAGAGCCAGAGCTGGTCCATTAATAAAGCCATATGGAAATTACTCTAGGCCAGAAACAAAAGATTAATACGACATGTATTTTGTTTCTTAAACATAATAAATCTGGATGGCCGATACTTTAGAACACCCGCCCAAGATACACCTTAAGGCTGGAATCTGTCTTGCAAATTCAAAACATACTCAGGTTTGCATGGAAGTGGTAGGTCAGAAAATTCCATCTCATTTCCCCAGCTGTGGCATGTAGGCAGGGGCACTGGGTTAAACTCAGTCACGGAGAGCAGAGTGCCCAGTCCAGCAGAATTTTCTGGATGTGCACGCTCATGTTGACAATTCCAAATTGTGATAAACGACAGAACCAAGAATAAAGAAGTGAAAGCTAAACAGGCCCAATTAGAGGCGCGCCTTTTATACTTGGCCAGAACCTGAAAGCCTTGGACCAAGCCAAAGGCCCAAGGACCAAGCTGTGTTTCCTGGCACAAAATAAAATATATTTCTTAAAGCAATGGAAAACAAAAATATCTAATTAGGAGGATTTGGTTCGGTAGCCTTTGATCATAAAGTCTTTTTATACCTTGAATTCTGTTTCTTTTCTGATGCTCTCGGTCTTTTGCTTGACTACTAATGATATTTGTATTCCTATAAATGTTTCTCTCTTTGTCCTTGCCTCTCCTGCCAAAAGTTAGTGTAAGTAAGAAATGGCTGTAGAAGCAGGTGTGCCCAAGGGAGAAAATGCTACACTGAGAAATCTAACAGAACACTGAAACCTACAGATACCTATTACATTTGTATTGTTCAGACAGGGGAAGAAAAGGAATGTGGAGAAGAAAGGTGGCTCATTTATCTTGTTAAAAATACAAGAACATTCACCAGCCCTGTATGTTCACACAGCCTCTATACTCAACTCTTAGTTTAAATTCTGAGTTTCCCTTTTAGACTCCCATTGTATCTTTGATGCTTCAGAAGCTGGTTTAACCTTTACATGGCACTCACTGATTATTTGACTCAAGGCTGCCTTCCAATAGGCTGTAAGTAAGCACCACGAAGCCAAAGTCCTTGTCTGCTTTTGATCCTTTTAATGCCTGGGCACATAGAATGTGCTCAATAAATATTTATAGAAGCAAGTTGAGGGGAGGACAGGAAAAGGAGCAAGTCTAAGTTGATTAATGTGACTCACTAGGCTTGGCCCCAGCTTTGTCACCGGTCACTCTCCCCCTAGACTAGGCACAAAGACCTCTAGGTGTTTGCCTCATGTGTGATGCTGTGTCTCACCTTGATGTCACACACTTTACACCCTCTGGTGGACACCCCCCTTCTCTTCCAATTCACTCAAATAGGTTCCATTTAAAAGCCCTTCCTGGAGGCTGACATCCCTAAATTGGTGTTAATCCTTCCTGTTTGTGCTACCTGTACCTTGGACACATGTCCATCGAGCTACCCTTTCATTTACTTTATATTTACTGGCTGAGGTTTCAATGTATGGTTTACACATGAGCTCCTCACAGGCAAAGACAATGAGCAGCTTTACTATTTCTGCATTTCCCAGCAGAGAGGACACACGAGCCATTCATTCAACATCCATCATTTGTTGTTCACAGTGAGCGTGGCTCTGGACACAGCAGCTCATCAGACAGATTAGAAAACATACTCCCCATGTGGAGTTTACATTCTAAGTGTGGGAGAATGACAGCAAACAACATTAATACATAAAATACATAAAATAATTATGGGAGAAAAGTCAGGGATGGGTGAGAACCTATGTACGTGTGCGTATGTGTGTGTGTGTGTGTGCATATATTAAGAAGAATATCTGAGGGAAAAGCATCCTAGTACAGGGAACTGTATATGCAAAGGTGTCAAGGTCAGTATGTATCTGGCTGTCTGGGACACTATGGAATAAGAAGGAAGGAAGTACGGCAGGACAAGAAGGAGCAAGGGGAAGAGTAGTAAAGTGAAAGAGGCGGGTGGGTGTGTGGATGGTCAGACCGTGGGGGCAGGGCTCTTTTAGGCCACTAAGAACTTTGGTTTTAATGCTGAGCGAAAAGAAAAGACATTAGATAGGTCTGAACGAAGGGGTGAGAATACCCAGCTCACAGCGCAACAGGTCATTGAGACTGCTGAACTGAGGGAAGACTTTAGGGGAGCAGGGATGGAGCGGGGACACCAGTTAGGAAGCTATGTATTGTAACAATCCAGGGAGGAGATGACAATGTCTCAGACCAAAAGCTGAGGGTGTGTAAAAAGTGGTTAGATTCTTGATACATTTTGCAGACATGGATAACAACATTTGGGTGTGACATGGGGGAGAAAAAGAACAGTCGAGGATGATTCAATGACGTGGAGCTGAACAGTCTTGGGACTGAAAGATGAAGAAACTCTTAACAGAGACATGGAAGACAATGAGAGGAACAGGTTTGGCGGTAAGTTGGAAGGTTCAGATTGAGAAATCCGTTAGCGATCTTGGTGAAATAGGCAGTTGGATACACAGGTCTGAAGTGAAGAAGAGAGACCAAAGAGGGAATGCTATTTAAAACCCTAACATCAAATGAAATCACCAAAGGAGTGTACATAGAAGTAGACCAAGTAGACCAAGGGACTTAGCCCTGCTGTTTCTCAGATAGCTGGTTGATGAGGAAGAATCAGCAAAGGAGACAAGGAAGTAGCGAGTGCAATAAAAGAAAAACCAGGGAAGTGTGGTTCCAGAAACTAAACAAAGTGTTGAGAAGAGGACGGTGTGGTCCACCAGGTGAGTTGAGAGGAGGACTGCAGATTCACCCTGAACGGAGCAGTACGAGGATCACCGACTGACACAACTGGCGATCTGATGTGACTAGTTTGGGGTGACTGATGGACACACAATTGGTGCTACTAGAAGAGAGCTTGCATATACAACTTGTTCAGGGAGTTTTGCTAGAAAGAACAGGAGAAAAATGGAGCAGCTGGAGGGGAAATGAGGTAAACTTTTTTTATTGAAGGAAGAAATGACTTTGTCTTTTATGTTTATGGTGTTTCCATTAGCACGAGAAACAGCGATGAGAGGAAAGGCCTGTGTGAGGTGGGGGCAGTGAATGGGGCCTGGCCCCCGAGTGGGTGGGCTGGCCGCTGCCAAGGGTAATAGGAGAAAAGCAGAGCAGGCAAACATGTGAGCGGGTGTGGGTGTGGTGGTGGGAACTCTCCAAAGTTCTCTTTTGTTTGTGTCTGTTTTCTCAATGAAAACAGGAAGCAAGTTTATGGGGGAGAGCAAGATGAGCAAGGGATGTTAGAGGTCTGGGGAGAGAGGAGCTGGTATGAAAGTCTTTTCAAAGAGTAGAAAAGTAAGTGGAAGAGGGATATTTAGTATGATTTCTGGGCAGTAATGGTGGCCAGTTGACCATGAATTTGGGGTGAGATTATTCAGCAGGCACTTGGCCAAGTTTATGTCATGAACACAGATGCAGGAACAGTGAGATGGATTATCCAGGTTCGAGGATGTGTGGAGCAAATGTGACAGATTTTGTGGGATCAGATTGAACTGGATGGAATGGATTTCCCGTCACCCCACAGACTTCAGTTTTCTCTTGGGAATCACATGCCTGTCCCTCCCAGGTATTGTCATCTTCGAGACAACACCCGTAATACCCACAATTCTGATATACTCACCGCCCTTCAAATCTGTGTTTTAAAAAATCAAACAATGCTTTTTGCATCATATCTGTGACCTGCAATTGAGCAAGCAATAAATTAAGATACAATAAAAATATTACTATTATGATAAAACAATTTTACTCCTCTTAAGAATGCCTGAAAACTTGAGCTTCCCATTTTGAAAAAGCAGCATTGAGATCACCCCATTTTTCTGTTTTGAGTTCCAATAAGATGACAATTAAAATGTCAAAGTTCCCTAAATTTATTCTGAAGCTTTAATGACAATACATTACATCACAAGTGATCTCAGTCACTGTCTATCTGATACTATTCCCTGGATTGAGTAGACTGTAGCTAGCAGAAATCTCCAGAGCAACAGCCAAGAGAATAAAACAGAACAAAACAGAAAGCAATATAGACCACAGCTTGAAAAACAACATGCTTTGCTGGTAGGAGCTCAAGTTCTAAATTCAAGAGTCAGGACAGGAGTCTGAGTCACAAAGCAGCTCAGTGTGCAAAGACAAGTGTGCCCCAGAGGGCACCTACTTACCTCGTACCCTTTCAGAGAAGGGCCCACCAAGACCACGGGTCTCATGGAAGGTACCACATCATAGGGGGGCGTGTGCTCTGTCTGGGGAGAGAGGAGATGACTTCAGATAGTTAACAGGGTATGGGAACTTAAGTATTTTGTGTAAAAACTGTTCTTTCTGAACTCTGTAATATGAGGCACTGGCTTTCCAGACATTTAATTTTTTTTTTAACTTGCCTCTTTTCTAAATAAACCCAATCAAAGATTGATGGGTTGATTTTCCTAAAGTTTTCATGTTATTAAGTGGTCTACAGGTTTCTCTCTCTCTCTCTCTCTCTCGTTAAGAAACGCTATTAACAGATTAGTTCCTAAAGCAGAAGGTGCTGCTTTGGGATGAAAACTAGTTGGTAGAAGAGACAGAAACATGCCTCATGCAGAAGAGGTGCTTTAGGCTTGACTTGGGGTTAAGACTGCTTTCAGATGCTTTGGACTTTTATGAAGAGGCACAGTTCCAGACCTAACATGGTTAAGTACAAAGACAAGAAATGCCTCACTACCTTCGTGTCTTGGATGTCTGTCTTACCTGGATAAAACCTAGTTTCAAAACACTGTAACTCTCAATTCAAAATACTCCAAAGTCCTACTGTTCTGAAATATTTAAATAGCAGGCATGCTTGTTTCAGTAAACAGTAATCAGGATTACTCTCTACCGCTTAGTGATTCATATTTTTTAAGTTTCCATGGCTTGAAACTTAAAAAGCAAGGTTCAGTGTCTTGGAGGAAAGGTGGAAAACGTGTGCAAACCAAGCCTGTTTCAGTGGCTTCAAAAGTCTGTTATTGACTTGCACCTCATGAAACTTCCGAGGGCGCATGGCGGTGTTCTGTTGTATAACTAACTCGTGACTCCCCCAGTACTTTTCTTCCTTTTGGAAGAGAAGGGGAGGAGCTAAATTTGGTAGCAATTTCTAAAACTTTCCAAACTTTTGAGTTTAACTGCTTCAAATAAAATAATCAAAATAAAAATTTTCCTAAACATTAGGTAACCGTTAACTTGTTTGATTATATTAAAATCAGCTGTTTGGATAGCAAAAAATGTTATGTTGATCCCCAAAATGATATTTTCTAATGCTGAAGAGAGACATGTGGCCTTGGATCCAAGATAAACAAATCATTGTTATATGAATTTTTCTGCTTGAGGAGCACCTGAAATAATACTTTAAGAATTTCTTTTTGTAACACAGACCAACAGAAAAATGTTCTTTAAACTATTTTAAGAATTTGATAAATGTACAAATATGAACATAAGTTTTGCATCAGCCTGTTGTTGCTCCAGAACGCTTTAGTGTTGCTTAAAATCGTTCATTCCAAACTCTGAATCCAACTACATTTAACTTGCTTAAGTGGGGAAGGACACACCCTTTCAGATTCTGAAGCTTCCAGCTGAGACTTCAGTGACAGTCACAGACAAACGTGATCAGAGGAGAGAAAATATCGCTGGACTGTGCTGTCAAATTTTACTGCTTTAAACTTTACCTAGCATTCAAAATGCACTTAAAAAGTCACAATAAAGGTAGAATACATTTTTCAACAGGAAAAAAAAAAAAACCAAGACGAACATAATACAGTGACAACACAAATGCCACAGAAGCACCACTCTAAAAGCAACCTGAAACATGGAGAACAGTGTCTCCGGTTTGCCGTTTGCTTCATTTTTGAACTCTCCACTGAGGTTGACCATGTAATCAGTAACATAAGAAGAATGAATACCAGTGCCGAAGGCATCATAAGCATATTTGTTAAATTGTTAGTTATACCACCTGGGATGATACTGAGAATGTTTAGGAGACAAGTCTTTATAATGATGATGTATAAGAATACCTTTTCCACCATTGTAATTAGGAATATAAATGGCATGCACTTTAGTAATGGCTACCAAGAAATTTTATTTTAGGTCTTTAAGTATTAAGTGGCCCAGTATTTGATAGGACTTTGGTTCCTTCGATCGGTGACTGCTGGTGATCAGTCAGCTTAATCAATAGGGTAGCTACAGAAATTACCTTATTTGATGGAATATTGGTACTTTGTGCCCTATTGATAACGACACCCATCATTTTTTTCTACCATTTTCTGCTAACCTGATATTGTTCAAATTATTCAGTGGAAAAATTGTGATAAACATCTTAGAAAAGTTTTAGAATTTAGGAGTAAGAAAACTTCAACAAATCTTGTCTTGACTAATCTGGTTTTAGGCCATGTTACCTCTCGGTAAAGCCCAGAGCAGCCTAGTTAGCGATGTTGAATTTCTGGGCTTCCACACTGTCAGTCACCTGGCTGTAAGTTTTCTCTATGACAAGAAGATAGGACCAGAGAGATGGGCTGGGGCTTCTATGCTCACACAAAGAATCCAGCTACTTGAATTTCTGCCTGGGGTGCTGAGGTCTTCCATTATTAAAGTAACCATACTTTATTTTTAAAAAAAATCCCCCAAAACAGCAACTTCACAGTTCTGTATCTGACACCTCATCAATGACTTCAGAATTCCTCCACAGAGCAAAGTACTTATGTAGGAGGAAAAGAGGTTAGGGCATGGAGAGTTCAGAGCAGAGTAGGCTTTACTCAGCACCTGTGTGTCATGATCTACCCATGGCTGTGTAGGATTTGGTGACGTGGGAGGTTTGACTGTAAACACAGCGTAGTAGGCTGTGGAAAGTGGAGTGTGAAGAAAGAAGGGAAGGAATGGACATTGGTGGGGACCCATCCTTAAAAAATAATGCTTCGAAGCTACAAAATATGCTGAAAGGAATTAGAGTTAGGAGTAAAGAGAACTCAGGACTACCTAGTTTTCAGTCAGGGGACACAGAGCGTCACTGTGTGGCATCTTGGTTGGCCTGTGGCAAAGGCTGTACACATGGCCACCGCCCCATTGTCCAACAGGTGAGATGCTGAAATCGGACTGATGGAGGAGGCAAGAACATTGGGAGAGTATTTGTATATGACAATAGGAAAAACTCACAGTAAACCGCCAAAACAAGCCTGCAGTTTTCCACTGGTCTTGTTCATCTGCAGATTTTGCACCTAATGGATTAGAAGTTTAAATACTGACTAAATTAAGACTTGAATATTTTTTAGTACAAGCTATGTATCTGGATATCATAAATCAGAATCTAATAATGGTTTTAATATGCTTGATTATAAGTTAACTTTCCAGAAAAAAAGAAAGACAAAGACAGACAGAATAAGCATGCACAATAGAGGTGCATTATATGGCGTTGTCAGTGTTTGAAATCCTTGAAGGTTTAAACAAGTTCCCTTGGTGGTAGATATTATTCCATCAAAAAGGATAAGTACTGTAATGGTGCCCTCACAGGTCACTCACTGAATTTAGTTGGTTTGCAATGCACGGACTCAATCGGCTGTTTGGTAGGTTCTTTTCTTAGGGCAGAAATGACTGTATTTCAGAAAACTGTGCGATTGAATGCTAATGATGCCAGTGGCAGGATAAACACAGCTTATGTCAATGTAGACTTACCGATTTCTGCTTCTGCTTAGCTACAGCAGCATGGAAAAGAAACAAAGAATAACAGAGCATGCATGTTATTGGCTTGTCAAGGACGCAGACAGTCAGCAGGACCAGAAGTGTGACGCAGTGCAGTTGAGCAGGTGGACAGATGGGAGCTTGGGGGTTAATGTTACCTTCTTAAAGAAGGGCATTCTTTTCTCTTTGGAGTGGGGTGACGTTACACTGTTTGCACTGGGTTTAGGGGAGCGGTGGTTTGCTGGAATATCATTTTCTTCTGCATCTAAGCCAGTAGCATCTATGTCTATAGCTATATACAGACAAACAATTCAAAAATTGTAAGGTAGACAGGAGAGGAAAAAGAGGTTATAAAAAATAAAATAAAGGCAAATAAAATTAATCTTAGTAAAAAATCTATCACGAGTGCTCAGCACAGTAAACAAAGTAAAATTTAAAGGTAAAGCATGTTAAGAATACAATGTCATTGAACCTAACAAAACTGAAAGTGCCCCTTATGATATCTATTTGCTTGATCAATTTTATATCAGATCTCAAAAAATATTCTCCATATTAATGTATGTCAGTATAGTACAGAACATTTCACTTCACTTCTTACAATATCTTAAACCAGCTTTTAGGTAATAAGCAACTCTAGTGTGCCTTCGATTTCTTATTTTTGCTAGGTTTTATGTGAAAATAAGGCAATGTGAAAAGGTTCACTTAAAATGCAACAGGCCTTTAAAGGAAAGAGAGAATAGAATATCCTAAATTCAGACTGCCCAAGGAAGGTCATACACAAGGGAAATGATTCAGGGAGGATTCCAGAAAGGGCAGGCCTGGCTGGAGACTAATGGGGAAACACTATATCCAATGATCTCCAAGGGACAAGAGTCTAATAAAGTGACCTAAGGAGACTTCCAGTGATTTCTCTACAGCCACCAGATGCAACATGAGAGGCAGGGTGGGCGGGCACATGGCCTGAGAGAATATGCCACTGGTCTCCTGATTTGCAGAACAAGAGGTTTAGGTTTGTGGTTTGATGTGCTTTCCCTTTAAAAACCTTTTTACCCTGGAAATATTTCACTTAAAAATTAAGTGTTAAATAAAAGATACATAAATAAAGGCCTATCGTCTTGTTTTGAAGTTTATAAAATGCTTCCACGTGCAGTTACTAGAGAATTTTATCAACTGTTAAAATCAGAGCTAGAAAAAAAGTATTTTAAAGATAGTCTTCAACTCTGTTATTGTTAAGTTTTAAAACATAAACTCTTCAAGAGTTTATGGGGCTTGTTCTTGGCAAAAACTCAGCAGAGCCAGGACTCAGAACATGGTTCTCCTGCTCCTGGGAGTCCCTTCCTGTCGCTGCACTGGGGCCTTCTCGGGTGCGGTCCCTTCTCAAAGCCAGCAGGCTCATCAGTTCCCTCTGCTCCCCAGCGGAGTCCCGTCCCCAGTGTCAGGATGCAGAAAGTATCCTGGCGCTGAGCTCCCTAGAAAATCATTCTATGATTTAGATGAGGTCAAGCAGAAAAAAAGAAGAAAACCTGCTCACCCCAGGAAAGCATCACAGGATCATATGACACATGTTACCTCTCTAACAGAAACCACAGTACGTTCAGGTTTCAGGAAGAAATTACCTGCTTGAAATAACAAGCAGCTGGTGCTGTGAAGCCACACTACCCTTCCCTGTGCTACGCAAGCTGAATCGGTGCTCACGACGGGAGACCACCTGACAGGCGTCACCTTATTTTTCAATTCTGAAGTTATTACAGATGTTAGATGACTCAGCCTTTTGAGCACCAGCATCTCTTGTTTAAGTGTTCCTTTTTGATTGGGTCGTAAGCCTGTATAACATGTAAAACCTGGCATTGTTTGCACAGTACTGCAAATATCAGCTATTGCTGGCATGAAGATGAGGCATGATGATTTTCTATCCAGTGAAGGTAATAATGGCCTGAATTAGTTCCAGGAATTCAGTTAGACTTACCTGGTACATGCGTTCTCTCTCTTTGCCACGCATGCATACTGATGAACGGAATGGTTCCGCCCACTGTGTGCAATGGGAACATTCTAAAATGCGCCCAGGGTTTGGGATCAACGCTGACTTTCATAGCACTCTATAATGTTTACCCTTGAGTCCCACCTTAGAAAGCGGGTCACTGGTGGCCTCCTGGGTGCGACAGAGAGGATCTGGGTCACCCTTTCACTATTCCTATAAACCAACAGCAGACAGGTCTCCCTTCTGGTGGGAAACTCCTGTGCACGTTTACCTTTCTCATCTTTCCTCGAGCTTGTAAAAGCCACTTTCAAGGGACAGTCCCCCTTGAGAGCCTTCTAGAAATCGAGACCTATGTGTATGTCACCGTTGACAGGACCCTGGGATAGCTAGGTTCACGAACTGGACTGTATGAAGTATCTGTCGATTCTGACCTTCTGGGACCAGATGAAATCTTGTATTTTTTAAAGGAAGAGTGGGAACGTACTGAAGGTTTAGCTGTGACACTGCCCCACAGTCTGGCTGCCCACACACGCAGCCCGAGTGGGGTTTGAGATTCACCCGCATTTGATCACAAGGGCTCAAAGCCCCAAGTTAAAAACATGCCGACTTACTAGTTCTGACTTTTGGCTGACTTAATAGCCATGGGGGCTCATTCTGAAACACAGAGGATGCTAAAACATCTGGCCACTGTCAAAACACATTAAAGAACTGTACGAAGAGTTAAGAAGCAAGTTCAATTCTCTTCATGGTTCTACATGCTATGCACTTTATTCAACTCTGTGGTTCTGCTTATACTGAGAAATGTAACCCCTTTTTAGTTTCATGCTACTATTTGCACACGCTGGTCAACATTGGTATTTACTTGGGAAAACTGCTTCTATAAATATGAAACTAGTTTCTTTCATTCTTCCTCACCAGTATGCTTTTTTTTTAGAGAGAGCCTTGGAGACATTTTTTTTGAGATTTAAATATTAGTTTAGTCTTAGACACTTGGGTCACGTTAAGTGGGAAGTCACAGGGATGTGTGTGTTCATGCAGCGGTGGGTGTGCACTGCACACTTGGCTACTACCCCATTTCCCAGGTGTGAAGTGGAAATGTTTCTTTGTCCAAGTCCTTGAGCATCTCCAAACAGATTCAGTTTAGGCAGGTGCTTCTACTCTTTGGTCCAGCCATGGATGAGGAGAATGGTTGATAGGGCTTCTGGGAAACAAAGGCGAGCATTGCGACTGCAGACACATCGGCATCTGAGAGCTTAGGCAGCTTTCCCTCAAGGGGGTGGCAGACCCTCTCTGTAGAATTTTCTGAAGTTTCCCTTCAGGTAAACTGGGCTATTGATACAAAAATTATACCAGGATTCTGACGAGTGTAAGATAGATTCTGTAGTTGGTTAATATCTCCAATTCACACAGACACAAGTATTTTCCGCTCTTGGTATTTGGAAAAGTTATTCCAGAGTCCTGTGTCTGTATAAAACTTGGGTGAAGGTGTAAGTCACCTTTATTTTATTATATTAAACTCTTCATTGAACTTAATTTTAGTAATGACACACATCTGACTGCAAAAATTAAATGCAATTTTACAAACACACAAACTCACTCTTGAAAATGCACCTACTCTCACTGCACTGCCAAAAGGACGAGAGGGCTACAGGCTGGCTGCAGGGGAAGGAGGAGCCCCGCAGGACCTGTGGAGGGAGGGGAGCCGCTGCTTTACCACAACACAATGTGGAACACGTTCAGGGGCCTAGGCTCTAGCCTTGGGGGTCTCCTGACAGCCTTTGACATGTAGGGGAAGAGTGTAAGGTTTAGACTGTAATCCCTATAGCCTGACATGTTTGTGAAGAAGCTCAGATAAGCCTCCTTTTTCCAGTGCCTCCAGAAAATATCTACTAACTACTCCCTGCTGGTCAATGGAAGACATAAACCTCACATTGCGCCTAAAAAAAAAAAAGCTTCAGTTTTTCCTATCAAACATACTATTTTGCTTACTTTTGAGCAATTTAGAATTGCTCTAAATTATAAGTATGTGGGTTTTTAAAATCAACATACCTCCTACAATGACTTATTTCTCACTGTGTTCACATGTTGCTCATGTAAAATGCCCTACAGTTTTTACTAAGATGCCCTTGGTTGGTCTCTAAAAGCCACCAACATCCCCAGCGAAGTGTGGTGATTAGTAACAGGAGAGCCCTGTTCTTAAGACACAGCAGTCAAAGTGCAACTAGTTCCTTAGCTTCACAGGTGCCCAGTTGTCTGCATCTGACCTCTTCCCACCCTCAGCTTCCTAGAACTGGGTACAGAATCATCTTGTGCAAATGCTCTGCAGGCCAGTTCTTATAATCTTACCATGACTCTCAACTGCATCTCTTAGCGAACGGGCCTTCGTGCAATTCGACCCATCAGTCTCCCATTTCTATGGAACCCTAACTACTACAGATTGGGAGAGCTGCCCCATTGAGTGAACAACGAATTCAGTTAAGTTTGAATTTCAGATAACCAACAAATAATTTTTAATCATTAAGTATAGCTCATATAGTATGTACTTACACTAAGAAGTTGTTATTTGCCTGAAATTCAGCTTTACCTGGGTGTCCTTTATTTCATCTAACAACCCTAAGCATGAGTCCACTACTTTATAAATACAACAGTAGTCGCCTTCTCACAAGTATTTGTATCTGATTTTGATACTTCCATACATCTTCCACATCTTCCAGAGTCCTTAGAGTATAGCTCATGTCAGGCCTATAATTTCCTCATTTTATTTTCCTTTCTTCACCCTTCCAAAGTTTTAGTTCTTCTCTTTTTATTTAACAACGTGGTCTACACTTCACACGCACTGTGGCTGCTAACGGACATTCACCCATTCAGTGCTCATGACAATGTGCTGGGTGGATGCTGAGGATAAAAAGTTAAATATATTTATCACTTTGACATTAAAGCAACTGACAGTGAACACATTAACATATTTCCTTTACTTTTTTCCCCAAAGCCAGAAAAAAATTTCCCAGATTCTTCCTAACTGCATATGGATACTCTTATTTCTGACCCCTTTGAACATTTCTGAGGTTTGCATGGGACTTCAGTGCATGTAAATTCACACAACTAGGTAAGCCTGAGGAGAGCGTGAAATGCAGTATGCAAATTGTTCAACACTTGTCACTTACTTACCAGAGGATGGAGGTGTAGATTTTCTGGAACTAGGTACTATGTCACCCAAACTGGATGATGAATTTCCTCCTGATTTACTGGAGTAAAGCAAAAATTTATATTAAATCTGACACTTACTGCAGGCTTTAAAACATTTGTATTGCTCGATAAACACGATTACTCATTGTGTTTTTATGGGACTTTAAATTTGTCTTCCCTACAAGGAGGTCAATAGTGATACCCAATGGAGACCCCTAGGTACTGCAGACAGCCATGTAATAGTCTCTGTTCCAAGTTTAAGGTTTAATTTTAAATGGCCCTGAGGGAATGGAAGAGAATCCAGGTAATTTCTGCAGCCTTCGAGTTCTCTGCCAGGATCACAGGTAGAAAACAGCAGAGATGTCCTTTTCTTCTTTTGCCTTAGAGACTCTCCAGAGCAAGTCAACTTACTGTTTCCTTTTTAGTTGGTTCCTGCTCCTTTGTCTTAGCTTGATTACTTTTGGTATACTGAGCTTCAAAGGACTCAAATTTTTTACGGGTGACATATAAAAGAAAAGTACAGCAACACAAAAACCTGCTAACCTTTAAAAGGCACATGAAGGAACACGACAGAGTGTCACATGTATCACTAATCGTATCTGGGACATTTCTCAAGCATGGCCAACACGGAGGATTCAGCTTGGTTCATGGAAGGATGTTCTGAAGAGCATATGCTTCAGAACTACCAGACTCTAAAGTTTCATATAAGACACAATTCTGCATCTCAAAAGTTTGGAGTTAACATTGTATTTACATTTACATTTACAGCATTTACACTTTGTACCAGGGTAGCAGCACGCTAAATAACATATTATCAAATGGCCCCCTCATAAATGAAGGTGGAGAGGAATATCTTCAAAGAGTGACATGGGATTTCAGGGGGACAGTTTTATTGCCTGAAGTTTATTATCACAGCCAAATCAGGGTCTGGTTGAAATAATTTGCTACATACAGAGTCTATGTACTGAAGGGCAGTATTGACTTATGTAAAGAATAATACACTAAAACAACAGTAGCAGGTTGAATTTCATCACTACTATCCTGGAATATTAATGCATAAAACAAACATTATAAACTTTAAGCAGCTAGCATAAGGCCTCTACATATTTTTCAGGTTCTTAAAAGATACTTTTGTGCATTTAACAAGGATACCAGATAGTATATAATATGACTGAAAAGTGTTATTTATAGAAACGATCTTCAGTAGTTACCCAATACTCATTACCAGGACAAAAATTTTCTTCCGGAATTTTAATTTTTCTAAAGTAGCAAGTCTAATTTCAGTTCAAGCATGGGTTTGTTTTACGTTCTATCTGAACTTTAATAAAAGTCAAAGTATTATTTGAATTGTGTAATACTGCAACACAGTAAATAGTCAAAATGTTCAGAATGCAAATTTGTCCTTCATTTTTAATTCTATAAAAATGCCACCTTCTTGAGCTGTGCTGCAATTCTGCTCCCTCTGGTTTCAGTGTTTCCCATGTGTGTATGCATTTTAAAATACTGCTGAATTCCAATTATGTTCTCAAAATAAAACTTTATTTAAAATGTTAGAAGACAAATGTAAAAACATCTGAAAAGAAGTAAAAATATTCTCACATATTTAGGCAAAAGCTTAGGTAAATAGACAGGACAAAATGAAATCGAGAAATCAAGCATATGGTTATAGGGGAGGAAACCTAGTTCCCCAGACTAGGCTGTGAGATGATGGACACCCCCAATGCAGAGACTGTATAGCACTTTTTAAAAATGCAAGAACAAATAGTGTATCTAATATAGTTAATAACAGCTGGCAATAATAATAATAATTGTTCTGTGCTTGCTATGTCAGGTCCTGGCTCCATGACTCCCAGAGGGCGTGGTCGTCCATCTGAGGTCAGGCTGCAGTCGGTCCATCCCGATTCTACCACTCTCTAGTTGTGTGGCCTTGGTCCAGTTTCCTGGTTTTTCCTGGCCTGTTTCCCCACCTGTGAGGTGGGGGGGGGGCTCTAATACACGCACTGTTCCCACAGGTACTAGTAGAGAGCTGAGCTGATGACTAATTCTAGACCAGGGATGCCCGGGTGGGAGGCGCAGGAAGCTGTGCTTTCTTAATCAGTTTTGCAAAAACTTATCCCCCTTCCTATTCCTTTAGATATTTTTTATTTTTCAGTTTGTATATGAGGAAGCATAGAAAGATACACAAGTCTGTTTCTGCCCAAAAGCCTTTTCCAAATTTCCTGCAATGCATTCTACAAAATACTATTGCTAAGATGTGAACCAATAAAAGTCTGTATAAAATAACTTAGGTATATGCATGAAAAACATCCTTATTCCACCACCCAGGTTCACAGTGCGTGTGAACATTTTAAAAGCTCTGAAAATCCCTAAAATAACTTTTTACTGCCCTGACCATTGAACCCTCCTATCAGGTGATTGGACAGAAAAACTCTGGAAAATGCTGAATGACCCCAATAAACTAAACCCAAACAAAACGTCCCCTGGCTAAGATACCGTATTTTCTGGACTATAAGATGCACCCCCCCCAAATTTTGGAGAAATAATGGTTGTTAATGCTGCTATTGAGTTCTGTTTACACTTACATTGGTAAAATATTGTTATTTATGCTATTATATATTTTACCACATTTTGGTGAGATCTTTCTTACCAAAAAGCATCTTCTATATTGCTTGTTGTGGATGCTTGGAAAAAATTCTTGCTAACACTAAAATGTTATCATCGACAAAGGATTTACATCATTGTATAAACAAATAAAACATGAGCTAGAGAAAATAGGAGCCTAGTTATTCACATTAAAGAAAATAATTGTCTATATCACATCCTTTCACACAGGGAAGAGCTTGCCATGTCCTTGGACTTGGCTGCATAGGGTTTAATTTCAACTTCACTCCATCTGAGTAACCCTTCCAGTGACTCTCTGAGTGCAAGGCAGACTGCTGCCAGAATGCTAGCAAGGGTTATTCATCCCAGCCTATTTCATAATCTGTTTAATTGCTATCTGCAAAGGCAGTTTTAACTGGTTTCATACTGAGTTTCCCCTTTAAGTGCTTAGCCATAGGGGTAACTGAAAATTGAGTTTCTCAAGTGAAAATGAAACCTAACAGGCCACAGGGGCTGCTCTCTGCCAATGCTGTCCAGGACTGTCATCTCTAAAATGCCTTCCTGCCACACCAGGCAGCTGCAGGTGCGGATTCGTCACCAGGTTTGGTCAGTGCCAGAATATTTTCAGTAAAAGATTAGGACTTGAGAATTTCTTCTGCACTAAAGCCTAAATTTAATATTCTACGACCTTAGCTATTTTCATTAATGATAATAATTAATTTGATTCTCTCCCAGATCAAATGGAAATGCGATACAGGGATGAACTTTTTAAAATGCAGGACTTGGGATGCATCATCAATAAGCCCAATCACTAGTCCACTTGGTAACATGTAATAAAGATCGTGGAACATGGCAAACAACAGCACCTGAATGATCGTATAATCTGGATTTTTACACCAACACCTGATGCTCTTCTCATACCTGGAGTAGAATTTCCCTTGCTTGGCTCTCTGTTCATGCTGTAGCCTCATATTTTCGAGTTTCACCGGGCTTGGTATGAATCCGATTTCACAGCCTTCTTTAACCAATCTTCCTATCCACCAGTCATTGTTAAATTTCTAAACACAAAATCAGAATTGTTAACATCAGTGCGCAGAAGTTCAAATCCTCAAATTGTTTTTTTCCACATTAACTACTTTCAGTGGAGAGAACTATTATGGCAATTACAATTAACTATGTGTCAATGATCACAACTCAAAAAAACCCTGTAAGTTCATGGATTGGGTATGTAAAAATGAAGTATTTTTAGTTAACATGAATAATTCAGCTAAGAATTAAGATTGGTCTGAATCCCAGCACAGCTGCTGCTGTCAACTGTGAGAAGGTTAAATTCTCCTTGTTCCAAGACTAATGGCCCTTCCTAAGGAGAGGCCATCAAGCACCAGAGAGTGTTTGCATCAGAGCAAAATTCATGTTTGTGCGAAAGTGTTTGTAATGAGCAAGGTACACTGTTCACAGGTAATTTCTCTGTTTCTGATGATGTTGAAAATGTCTCTCCTGTGGCTGGAATATTTATCCTAAATCTTTATGATTTGTTTTGATTTCCTGAAACTAAATAGTATTTTTTCAACTCTGTTCTTGAACGTTTCGATGATGAATATCCGTTCTGGTTTCTTTTCCTTTCATAGTAGAAAGAGGTTCCTCTCCAAGCACCAGCCATCAGGAGGAGACCTGGATTAATCTTATTTCCTGTTATAAAGTCAGATTCTTGGCATGTCATCACTTCTGAAAACTTTCTATCCTTCCCTCCTAGCCAATATTTCACATCCCCTTTTAAACATTAATTAAATGGGAGGCTCTAAAGTCTCTAGGTTCTTTTAATAAGTACTCATCACCTCCTTTGCTTATAGCCTTTGGTGCAGCTAACAGTTAAATTTACATATGCTTCCTGAGACATATCAGCCCCTAGACTCCAGCTACAAGTTCCTGCAAGCTAAGGAAATCATGCTCATGCACTGAGAACAGCATGCAGGGGGAGTTTCTGGCCATTTAATACAGTATTCTGCACAGTGAGCACCTAATAAATGTTGACTCAAAATAAACCTGCATTAAGGGTGAATTTGTCTAATTGACAGGTCTGAGTCATGGTTAACTGAAAGCTGTTGACTTTTGACATGGAGGAAAGGGATTTCTCGTTGTTTCTTGCCTTCTTGGCTTCAACTCCTCCCACTCTCCCTTGCACTCAGAAATCCATCAGTGAAGGAGGATGGGGGCACCAGTAGTCCTGAGTTTTGACATTGGCAGCACAGAGGAGAGGTCATAACTTCTAGATATTATTATTAAACCCTCCCAGATAGTTAAACTTGAGAGATGAGGGGAGAACAACACATAGTCAAGGTCGAAAGTTAAAATAAAAAGTACAAGTTAAGCATAAAAAGGGATCATCTCCTCCAGTAGTTCCCAATTTCTGGGTCAGAGAGCCCAGGAGAGCCTTGAAGTTATCCCAAGAAGCCTGAGACTGCTTTCTTCTTTATAAAGGTTGTATTTGTATTAGAGAAGGTTGAGAGGCACCAATTTCATGTATATGTTATATAACTGCAGCTCTCTGCAATGCAATTTCACAGCAATAAGAAATAAATGATGTTGCAAGGTGAAAAAAATCATGCAGACAGAAATTCAAATTATTTTCCTTACTTCCTTAACATGCAGAAAATCTTTTGCTTCAAATGAGATGGCCATGCCTGGCACCGGGACGTCATCTTCGTGGGCTGCACTGTAGCTGACATTTGTCCGAACTGCAAATGCAACAGGCTTTGTCTAAGGAGGGAAAGAGGGGAAAAAAATAAGAAGCAAGTGTTCCCTCCCTTCTCCCCTAAAATACGAACATACGCTGAATAACTGTAACCATTGTTGCTTTTCCCACTTCAGTTTTTCTCACGAAACAGCTTATTAGTATTCAATGCACCCAAGATCCGTGTGCTCTCGGCTACACACCATGCATTTCTGAACTAGAAAAAGGCCACTGTTCTCGCAGCCCTTCAGGTAATGAAGGCGAAGATGAACAACGGAAATATGTTTGTAACTTGACTGGAAATCAGGAAACACACACAGAGATAACATGCCCAGTTCTTTGGTTTCAGCGGAAAAGACTTAGTCATCCCCCATCCAAAACATCTTCTTTAATGAGAATGAATGACATAATTCCAAAAGATACAATGTTTTGGATGAAAATAGAACCACTGACTATATTTGCTGTTTTACACATAAGTGTTTGAGATAGAGATGTAGGCAATTCCTGTTTACTCACAAGGCAAATAAAACAGGTAAGCTCAACAACAGTCAAAAGAGGATTTGTCCTGACTGGCGCCGTGTTTGTTTCACATTACTGCAAATGGATTTCTTCTGAGCAGTTTCTCCCTCCTCAACAAACTTTTCACCTGGACTTTTGTCCAGGAGGACAAGGGAGAATTAGAATAGAGACCCAGCCTTCATTTCCAAATTTCCCCGTTAATCCACTCTCCCGGCCTCCTGTCAGGGTTGAGGACTGAGCCGAGAGCTACGAAGTTACTCAGATCCACCCACGGGATGCTGATGGGAAGAGAGGGCCACGCTCTGGAGGTGGGCACGACAGGCGTGGGATGGTTTTTAAATGTTTGAAATCCAGTTCTGGGTACCCTTTATAGTTTTTAATGGTGTAAGAGGTACTATTCCTCATATGGAAATATGGGCTTTAAAAAAGGTGCCCGTAGTCCTGCCAGTCCTTCGTAGGAGGTCCTTCGTAGGACTGAAACACAATCCTTCGTAGCTCGGCTCTGTTCCCATTGTTTCTTGAAATTTAAAAAAATATGTAGATCTTATTCCCATACTCATAATATATTTAATTTTAATCCAGTTTTTAAAGTATCATAGCACTTTTCATACAGTATACTTCCTTATCATTTACATAATTGCTTCAATTGGTCACTCTTTGGTTCGCAGTAAGGTTTATCATTTTCCCACTAGGTATTCCAGTATTCTGCTTTGAAAAAGTGCTGCACAAAAATCCTCTTTCTACTTAGAATTCTTTCCTTGGAAATGGCTCCCAGAGGTAGCATGAGTAAGTCATGATTGATCAGAACCTTTTAAAATTCTAGTCCAAACTAAGTTCAAATGGACGGCACCATTTGGAACTTAACCAGAAGTATATGATGGTGCCCTTCTCAATAATACGGAGTCTACATCAGACTTGGTTTTACTGCCAGAAATAAGATTTTTATGAGTAGATCCATTCATTATTTTGGAGAACTCTGGTCAAAAAAAATATATAGACACAGGATCTTTTTATGCTATCATGATCTTTCATTTACCTTGGGGTCTTTTATTCCTGTGGGATACAGAGAACAAGCATGGCATGTATTTTTTCATCACTGGAGACATAAATGTTAAATGTACAATTCTTCAGAGAAGCCCAGTGGAAAATTTCCTGTCTTTTATGCAATAATCAGCTGTTCAAACATTGGGGTAAAAGGAAGAGGGAATGCTAAAAAAAGACAAATAAAGAGGCAGTGAAAGTGAGCATGCCATAGTAGGTGCTCCAGACAGTCATTCCATTTTCTCAGGTTAAGGCCATTTCCGAATTCGCCTCCTTCCTGGGCTCACCTCCTGTAACCAATGTACTACCACTAGATGTGGGGCGTATACAGGAATCGCCCTTGCAGAACTTACAGCACTACAGAACCCCATCTCTCAGTATCTTTGCTTCGGGAACTATATTTCTAAAATTAGAATGGACGACAGTCAAAGTGGAGGGGAGAAGGGAGGTAGCCAAGATGGGAGAGCTTAGCAGCTTGAGAGCAAGATGCCAGGACACCTACCAAAGGGGCAAAATGACAAGATCATTTTTGACTCGCTTCGGCTCTATCCACCTCAAGCAGTGTGTGTATAACATGGAAGATATTTTTCACATCAGTTTCATTCACGTGGGTTTAAGAACAGGGGATTGTGAATGGAACTGGATTTAAATGCTATTCTGCCATTCATTAGGTGAGTGGCCTGGGCACATTCCCTACTCTCGCTAAGCATGTTGGCCCATGGCTAAAACGAGAGTAGTTACACCAACCTGGAGGGTTGTTACGAGATTACAGAAAATGCAGGTCACAAGGCTAGGTTAGAACTTGGTATAGAGAGAAAGCTCAATGAATGGACACTTGTTACACACCAAAAAGAACTGCTTTAGAGAAATATGTGTTTCCCCATGGTCCCGTGTCTATTAAGGGCCAGCACACAAAGAATTTCCTCTGTGGTCTTCCGGGGCAGTCCTCCTCAGACCAAAAGAGTTACCACACTTCAGTATCAGCCACAGGCCCTATGTGGAATATAATACAAATGGATTCACGATGTTTTTCGCTATTGTGTATTCTTTCCCATTCTCTAAAATTGAGACTACGGTAAGGTCTAACCATAATCATTTTCTCCTACTTCTTTAGTTCTGATTTTCTTTGACCACCCTCAGCTACGGAGGTTTTCTTGGGGGGTGGGCGTGGGGAGAAGTAAAACAACTAGAAGTTTCAGTGGAACCTCCCTTAAGAAATCTTCACGTTTTTAATCCCATGTAACCATGTTTTTATCAAAAGTATCCTGCCTTACATTGACATCTGCATTTCGGGCCTACTCGGCCTCACAGGACTTTTCCTCTCCTCGTTTGGGCCTCTCCCCGGGTTCCCACTGGGACCTCGCCCTCAGCCTGGAACCCTGCCAGGCCGTCAGGGTTCCAGCCTCAGTCACCTCTGTGATCGGCTCCCGGCACGTGGAGTGCTCATCCCTTTCACTCTCACATCCGCCATAACAATGTGTGACAATCACTGATTCTTGGTGCTCTCGTGTCTCAAGGCCAGTGGACATTTACTCTCTATTGTTTGCTTCTGAAGGTAAAGCAAAGTCCTGAGAAGAACGGACAAACAGGAGCCCAGAAACTGTGGCCCTGCAGAGGCCTGGCAGGAACACCAGGACAGAGAGGACTGAGGTGACGGATTGAACTCTAAGGCATGCTAGGACGCAAGATGTGCTCTGGGCCTCATGGGAAGCCAAGCTGGTCCAGGCCCCAGCACCAAAAAGAATGGTGCTCTCTGAGAAGTGGGTCTGCCCCGGTCACAGGTTCCCCATCGAGTTGTCCACTGCCTGCCCTCTAACTCCAGGGCCTCCCAGGTTTCCTGAAAGGCTGGGTCACAGCTGCAGGGGAAGAAAGTCAGAAAGCATAAGTATAAAGATGGCTCACAGCACAAGATAAAACAGGGTTCTATCATGGCTGACCGTTACAGAATGGAACTTAAATCCAAATTCTGATTTAGACTTAGAGTCATCCTATGCTGCAGACTCATTAGGATTAAAGGCGACCGGGAGACCAGGGGATCCTTACTTCCACTTTTTCCCACCCCTTTAATGTCAGGCCAGTGCCATGACCCTATCATCTGCTTTTGCTGTCTCCTCCCATCCAGATTCCTGGGTAATTTGTTTTGTGGCTGTGGAGGGCCAGGCACGTGATGATGTAGATGCATTCTGTTCTGTCAGTCTTTGCTGCTCACTCTCCTGGGTCATGGCGAAGGGAACTGATCGATTCCCTTGCCTTTTTTGACCCCATGGACATATGTTACAGGTCATGAGGGTGGTGGGTAAACGACCCATGCTCGGCAGCCTCCTTTTGCCACAGAGAGTTAAAGTTTGCTGCACTTCAGCTTGTGGTCTAAACCTGAAGAGATTCTCAGAATGAATCAATAGGTACCATTTTGTATAAGAGTAGCATTTCATTACCCAGACAATTATGCAATAGTGCTTTAAAAACACTAAGTCTGACTCATTTTACTGGCATAACTTCGGCCTGTCCTCAGTTAATATTTCTGAAGGAATGAGTAAGTGCTACAGATGGAAAGGAACTCGTGTTCTATCTCCCCTTCAAACAAGATCCTTCTTCATCCTGCCTGTACATGGCACAACTTACAATCATAAAAGCCACCACGTTGGGATATCTGCGAGGTGCCGAGCAGTGTGCTGCGCATTACACACAGACCGTGGCATTTAGGTTAATTCCAGCAACAACTCTGTTTCCCAGATGAGGAAACAGGCACCAAAAAAGTTCTCCCGGGCCCTACGTAACAGAGGTGGTATTCAAACCCAACTATCCTACTCCAAAGCCGAGTTCTTTCCGCAGCACTAGACTGCCCTTCGTCCCAAGGGGGTACGTTGGTGGTGGTTTTAGAGCACTTAGCTGCTTGTGTAAAACTTCGATACTTGAAAGTTATATTTTACAAAGTGCTCACAAACTTGTTGGTGGAGAAAAATTTAAAAAGTTAAGCCTGAGTCTGCCCTGTAGCCCAATTTGTACCGCCTCTTAAATATAAAACACTGAATGAGCGGAGTTTTGTATGTTGAAGCGATGGGCATTCATTATAAAGACATGCAAATCAATATGCAGTTTAGCACTTCAATAACAATGTCAGCCCTGGCTGGTGTAGCTCAGTGGATTGAGCACGGGCCTGCGAACCACACGATCGTGGTTCGATTCCCAGTCAGGGCACATGCCTGGGTTGCAGGCCGGTTCCCTGCAGGCCAGTTCCCAGCAGGGGACGCACGAAAGGCAACCATACATTGATGTTTCTTCCCCTCCCCTCTAAAGATAAATAATAATAATAAAAATCTTTAAAAAAAACAATGTCAAAACATGATTTTTCTTTATTTTTATATGACTTTTCTTTCTTTACATCCCTTTTCCACAACATACAAAGCTCTTTTTCATGCAAAGATAATTGAGATGTTAAAACATGTATATGTGGTTTCGTGGCCTC